CCCCAAACAACTGGCACTGTTTCGCGGGGGTCATGCTGTGGACCAAATCGATTTTGCTTCAGCGGACGAAACCCTTGCGAAAAATATTGGACAGATAGACGACCAAGTATTTAGTATTAACCAACAGGACTTTGTCAATTCTTTTCAAGATCCTTCTCTTAAAGCAAATGGGGCAACCCCTGCAAAATCGGGGGTTCCGAGACAAAATTGGGATTCCCAACCCCAAACTCATATTACATCTTGTTTTGGGGTGGCTTTAAAGGGACACCAAAACGGATCCCACCATTTTGGCATCAATCTTTTTGAAACAAACTTTGTTCCTTGTGAAAGGGAGCCTGCGCACTTCCCATGATATCAGAAAGGCGGTTCAATCCTTGCCTGCCAGAAACCAATTTGATTGTTGTTTCCCCGCGCATCTGAACGCACAAGGGGACTTAGTTGCACCAGGCTTGTTTCAATCTTACCATCGCTTAGGCTGGTGAAATGTACTGCGCCGGGCATGATTTACTTTTTCTCGCCGCTCCCGGGCACAGAGCTGCGGTTAGAACCAGCAACTGGAGCATTCAGCTTGTTAGATGGGCGGAAAATGAAATTGGAGCTCCCAGACAATCCACGTGGGTAGCACTGACTTAAATTGAGCCACATTCAACACCTGGGTACGCGAATATATAGCAAGAGGGGGGAACCGCAAAACTTGCTGCGGCCGCCCTGTTGATTCTTTATACGGTTTCGGGTAGGCCTTTCCAATAGGTCTTGATTGCGACTCAATGAGACGCTGCAGATCTTGCTGCCTGAAGGAATCAAGACTGCAGACCAAGATTGCACCTTTTTCAATAGCTTCAGGATCCACCCTTGGCGGCCGAACAAATCAAGTCGACAGACGTGCAGGTTTGCAACCCGAAGTTGATCGAACCTGAAGGGCTGAGAGCTGGTGAAATCGGCAGAATAATCTTCATTCATCACGTTCTACGGTTGGGTCTGTCCTGTGGGATGGCTACAAGCAAGAGTCTTAACGTAATGACGGCCTATGATAGAATTTCCCTTCCCAATCCCTTCCATCGGAGCCGGACTCCGTTTGGTTTCCCTTGAACGGCAACCTTAAGGGGTAGCCTCAGAAAAAAATAGACCCAACTCGATCCCAGGAGCTGATCTCACAGACTCGTTGAAAAGGGATCGACTCCAATTCTTGAAACGCACTGAATAAATCTCAACGATATTGAGAGGCTTCCTCTTTGGGTTTGGAGTGTACGCATTTAGTGATCAAAATTCCGGGTTGCTTGGTGACTTCAATCAGAATGGGTATGAATTTTATGCTTGAACTTTTTGGTGGACATCATTCAGGTTGGGATTTGTGTCCACCAACCATTTTTGAGGGGATTCCCCGGTAAAATTAATTGCCAGGTTGTCCTGCCCCACAAAATGTGATTCTCCCTTTTGCTCCCAACATCACTTGGCAAGATGATCAACTGATAGAAGTTTGGCCCAGTCTGGTCTCCCTGTTTCATCTGCCGCGGACGCCGAGGCAGCCTTTCTGGTAGCCAGAAGGGACGTCCCGGCAGCAGCCGCGACGACAGGGGCGCGCGGGCCCCGCACTCAGCAGCCCAAGTAACATCTTCCATGTTCTGGACTTTTTTTAGTCGTCTAGTTTTTGAGGTCCTGTTCATTTTCAGTAGGTGGCTGCAAAAAAGGACCAGTGCTTTGCTGATGCCAATCAGATTTGTCTGACATGGGTGAGCCGCCAGAACAAAAAACAACAAAACATGTGACTCAAGCAGATTCTCGCTCCCCCACAGTCTTGGACTTTAGCAGACAAGAACCATTCAAAGGATTGGAACCAGAAGACTCCCCGAGGAGTCCCTTTTGATCGGGAAATCGGCCAGGAATCCAACAAATCCCCTGACTCGCTCCCAACACCACTATACTTACTCCCTGAGTTCCGTTTCGGACTTTAGTTACCTGTTTGAGGTTGGGCCATGTTGCTGCTAAACAAGAAGTTTCAGCCTTTTTGGCCAATACACCCAAGTGAACATATGGGTCTGTCCTTCTTTAGGAGTGTGGGGTCCAAATTGGATCCAAATTGGTGGTTTTTCTTGTAGTTGTCCATTTAAACCAAAGGGGTACCCTCAAAGAAGAGACCCCCCATGTGTGTTCAAAGACTCAACGTAAGTATTTGAACAGCATCCTGTTTTCATTGACTTAGCTTGCCACTTTGCTCTTGAAGGTCCTTTTGGTATCTCTTCACGTTTCCTTTCACCTGAAGACACTTTTGATTTGCATATGGTGTGAGTCCGGCCAAGTCTCTTTTTTTTGTAGACAGAATATGAAGCATAATCTGAAAATACTATCTTTGGTTCAGGCACCCCATTTTTTGGTGGTTTTGGGATTTGAACCCTGTTTTTGGTGGGAAACTGCCCTAAACCAAGACCGAAACTGATATCTGTGGACCTTTGCCTAAATGTTTCCCACAAAGCTCAGAATCGGCGGGATCGCCGGGTTTGCCTTTTCAAGCTCCCGAAAGGTCAGTTCGAGCCTTTGGGCAAGTGAGGAAAAGATGTCGTGTGCCAGTTGGGGATAAACTGGCAGGCTAACTTGAGAGAGAGAGGCTTTTTTTTGGGCGGAGTTGATTGTGACAGCCGCCAGACCGAAGAGACAAACTCCGCGAGGGAGGCTGGAAGATGCGCTTTTCGGCACTGTATTCAGTTTGAATTTTAATCATCTACTGATGCCATCCAAAATCTGCCTCTATTTCAACAGGCTCACCAATTCCGGGGTAAAACCAGCGCGTTCACCATCATGTAGCTTCTTTAGTGGGGGATGCAATTCTTGTTTCTGGGGAATTGTGTAACGTTACAAGGGTCTTGACCAAAACTCAATCATATTGCACATGTCTTTGTGCATTCCCGCTTGGAGATGGGTGCTCCCTGTTCCGATGGGGATGGGTGCGGAAAAGTTCCTGGGCCACTGTGGAAAATGCCGTTGATCAAGAGCATAGCGAGGGTTTCCGGTATATAGCCTGTATGGCAAGTTGTTTCGACACCCGTTCAAACATGACGGCCATTTTTGCCATGGGTATTATGCACGTGGCCCTGTTGGGTGTTTCATAGTACGTTGCACGGCGATGGAAAGTGTGATTCTTCCAGAACTCTATCCACCCACTTCTGAGCAGCACTACCGTTTTCTCTTGGCAATGGCATTGGGTGAGAATTGAAAATGGGTTCACGGTCTTCAAGTGATACGGTGGATGGTCAAGTCCGATCCTATACATCCATCCCAAGTGGAGAAGGCTCACCTGGAACAGTGAGAAGACCTTGAGCCACTTGAGCCACTGATTCAGAAAGGGGGGGAGGCTGCGACCAATGGTCCTTGGCCTAGCTTGGCATCAATGACAGTGATTGATACTCACTAGCAGGCTGCACCCATTGCCTGGGTCACTCATGTTTTTTGTTCCGAGTGGCAAGCTGTATGCGGGCCGGTTTTCCAAGAGCGCACATGGCACATGAGTTTCCTTTCCAGAAGATTCGTTGTTCTCCAAACAGCGCCCCGTGCCTCCATGTGCAGGTATGTGCTTCAGGGTTTGCATAACATACCCTCCCCAAGAGTCAGCCTTCCAAGGCCCACGGCCATGTTTGCTGGCAAGGTGCGAGGTTCGCTCTGGATCAAAAGTTTTGGGGTCAGATCTGGCCCAGGCACCTCACTGCCCTCAAGTTCTTTTCAAGGGTCACGGCACTTCTTTGCAATCGTATGCCTTAATTGGCCTTAGCTGGTCTTGCGATCTTTTTTGGTGTTCATTTTGAGGTTCACGGAATGTGGGACAGAATCTTAAGTTTCTCATTTACTGGCGCGCAGGGAATGGGCTAGAACTGGGCCCTTAAAGTGAGCATTGTGCGGGGTTCTCCAAGCTGTTTCGCTTTAAACAAACGAATGCATTTGACGAAGCAACCACCATCTGGAAAATGTGTTAAATATCAGGTTCTTCTAAAGTGGTGGCTTGAATTGGTGGTTTTGATTTTGAAGGTCTGGGCAGGGCAGACCTCTCCCTAACCTCCAAACCACCAATCCAAACCACCAAGTAGGGGACAGCTGAACATAGTCTGAAAATTCATCTTTGTGGCTTGTGGACCGAGTTTGAATCTGCTGGCACAGGTCTTGCCCCGGCCGCGAGGGTGCCATGCTCAGAGATTGAGAAAACTCGGGGCATTGCGGAGCGGCGAGCGTGCCCATGGTTGTGGGCAGCTGCGTTTTACAGCCTGCCCAGAATATGGGGTGTCTTGTTTTCGAGGGGTCCCCTAAACAGACACACCCATATTGAATATTTTGCGTTTACAAGGGCAATTGCGAGACGAATAAAATGTGCTCACTGGCGGAGAAGGGTTTGGGCCAGATGGTCCGGGACATGGTTGGGGAAAATTGGGGGTTTACCGCCACTCTGTGATACTGTGGGTGGACAACACGCCCATGGCTCCACTGAGGACTGGCGTGCGCGATGCGCTGAGTACCACCACACAGGCCCCTCAGGGGCCAGTGGCGTTCTTTGCCTCGAAACGATTTGTGCGTCCTCGCAGGGTTCCTTAATCCCCCGGATAGGGCTGGATTTGAGAATCGAAAGGGAAATACCTATTCTAAAAGTAGTATTCTCGGATTTGGGATTGCCAAACGCATTTTTTAAATTAGGGAGACCTGTATTAATCGGGGGAAAGGATTATCCCGAAATCCACGCTCCCCATGTACCAACGCAAATACCCTCAGCTGAAACAAACTGCTGTGAAGGCAGAGGACGTGGATTTGCAGGCGTAGAAGAGTTTCAACAGAATATGGATCAAGCAGCAATAAGCAACCAGCAACAATGGACGTTGGCGCGACATGCTACAACAAAGACAAGGGCAAGAACGGCAAGCACAAGTTGACAAGGGCAAGGGAAAGCACGACAAAAAGGCCACGGTGCCTATGGGAACAACAACTACAACAATCACACAGGAGGAAAAGGCAATCAGTACTTAAAGGGGCATTGTACTTAGTAAGCGGTTTGAGAGCCTGGTTATAACCCACTTAGGGTGGTTGTAAGTGTCCGTTCAGTGGGTTATAACCAGGCTTACTAATCACTTACTAAGTACAAGGCCCCTCGGGCCCCTCTGAGTACATTTGCACTGGCTACCAAGCTGATTTGGGGACATAGTTGATGACAGTCCCAAAGACCCTGGCCGGTCTTTGGTGTGACCGAATCGCCCCAGAGACACATTTCCTGTCAATCAAACCTAACCCAAGTAGACCTTTGCTCAGGGGGGGGAAGAGAAGTCCACTTGAGAACAACTAACGAAGCATGATAGCATTGGCTGCCTGTTTTCTGAACTGTCAACCGCCAAGTTATGTTTCATTTTACGGTCGCTGGTGCCAGAAGCGCTTACCACGTACAGGAGCCTTTAAACAACTCAGTAAGACTATCGACTCGTTTTAGTCCCTTGAACAGTTTGCATATCAGTTTTGTCTTTGAGAGTGATCTGATTAAGCAACTTTACACGAGTTTTTTGCCCGACGTTTTCACATCCATTTACTTGTCTTGTAGGTATCCAAGGGCTTGTAACCGTTTCAAAACATTGAATGGATAAAATGGCGGAGGGTTTGCCTACTGTGCTGGCGAATCACCCGGTGCTTCAACAGATCACTTGTCAGGCGACCCACCTCAGCAGCCGCAGCACGACGCCCACGGAGGTCTCGGAAGTTGTGTCGAGGCCAGGGCTGAGATCAAGTTTGTCAGGAGTCGAGAGGGGCTGCTTCCACCAAAATGGGATTTGGCTTGCTTTCTGGGTGTCCTTTAAAACCGACCAAAAGATGGGTACCTGAAAAAAGAGACAGACCCGAACTTGGGTGTGCCGTTTTCATGGTGCCACCTAAATGGCTTTGGTTTTCCCTTTGGTTTCGCTTGCAAGGGTTTGCAAACAAAAGGAAGGACTTATTTGCCTAATAATGTATTCTAATCTTCCCTGTTGGTATGAACCAAAATTGTTTCCGAAGACCTCGAACACTTCGCCACATTTTTCCGTTTGGCTTCCGGTTGCAACCACAAAAAAGGGGTACCCTCAAAAAGACAGAACCGGATATGGTTGTTTTGGGTGTGTCTTTGTTAAGGGTGCCCCCAAAATGGATCCGGTTTTCCTTTTGGTTTTCCTTTGAAACCGACCAAACAAGTTTCCAAAAAAGACAGACGCATTTGCTGAATAACATGTTCTATTTTCCCCTGTTGGTTCTAAAGAGGATCGATCACCACTACAACACATGTGCATTTTCCCAAGAAACTTGAGCAAATGGAGGGTTGGCATGCAACAAAATTGGTGGTTGAAACAAAGGAATATGCCCAAATCCGACCGCTTGACCTTTTGATTCCCCCTTTTTGGCCCACTTGTTTTTTATAAAGGTCCCAAAAGACCTTCAATGACGTCTTGAATTCTTGCACTGAAGCGTTTATATAACGAGCATCTCAAACGGATGCCACCCTCAAACTCCATCTTAAATCCTCCTCGGATTTCTTCGTCTGTTGGGCTTCCCTTCTGGGACATGTAGGTGTTTTGCTCTTCCAGGTGGCCTTTTTGGTCTCAAAAAAGGAGACCAAAATGAGACCCAAGCCCCTTTCTTTCGGGGGGTTCCCCCAATTTAGACGACAGGCTTATTTTCGCGGGAGTTTCCCTTCGCTGGTTTTGAGCATCGAAGAAGCTCATGAGATCGACCAAAGCGATCGACCTGTTGCTTTGGCAACCATTCGCGGCCAAAGTCATGGCAATCATCGGACTTTCCGACCCGAGTTCCTGGACTTACTTTTTTGGGCCCAGCCACTGGATCGGAAGTGATATCATCGGACTTCTCAATTCAACCCCAGAAAGTTTGCCTGGAAGGGGCCCTGAAATGAATTGGGAAGCTCAAGCTCGCGTGTTGAAGCTCGCAGGCGTGTCTCAAAGCGGAACCCACTGAATTCATCGATCCTTTTGGAGTTTTCATAGAACCAACCCAAAAAGGGTGCCCTCAAAAAAGAGACGCCCAACAAAATATGTGGTATTCTCAAGTCTCACCCTCTTGGTTTAGTCTTGGTTTGGCTTGGCGGTTCTTTCGAGGGTCAGTGGTCCTATACAAAATTAAGGGAAGGAACCCAAAAGAGGGTCCGGGACCCCAAGGGGTTTCGTTTCCGCTACAAATGCTGGTTTGTTGAGTTCCTTGTTTATCTGTAGGAAAAAAGGGAAGCTGGATATGATCACTTATCTTTGGGTCCTTCCTTCGTTTTGTGTTCTCTTTCACTGCGACCCCTCGAGGTCGTCCTCCAATGACAGCCTCTATGTGGATAGCGCGGCCTTTGAAGAGAATGCCTAGCCGCTGTATCCACGCTTTCCAAAACGGCTGGCCCCGGTGTCAGTACACCTCCCGGCTAATGGAAATGAGAACTCAGGATTCGTAAGCCCTCATTCTCAGGGAGTCCCCAAAAGACAACTATACTGTATTGATCCGCGGAATGTTTTGATACGGGTTGGCATGAGCAAAGAAAACCTGTTTGAACACTATCAGAGGTTCAGTCAATATGTTTAGCAGTCGATGGGCTTTATTTAGCGAGACTCGGGTGACTCACTGACATTCCCGTTGCAAGCAGGGGACTCGCAAGTTTGCCATAGTTTGCCCGCATAGGGTGCGGTAGGCTGGCTTGGGTATCGATTTCGGTGGCGGCTTTGGAGAGTCACGTTGGCCTTTGATGCGCAGGCCCTCAGCTTTACAACATCTCTTAAGCAAAGTCGAGTTGGTATGCTTTGTCACTAAGCTGTTTGGCAAGAGCCGCGTAGCCCACAGAACAAACGAGAGCGAGAGAGAGGGAGGAGGTGCTTTGTGGATGTCAAACTCAAGTTTCGCAACATTTGTACTTGGGTGCTTCTTAAAATATGTGTTTCGCCTTTTGGGTGCCTAGGTAAAACCAAATCAACCACCTACAGGCCTGTAAGATTTGTCCTCGGGTCGGGAAGGCTCGAAATGGAATTGGGGCAACCCACCCCGTCCCTCAAGGGGCGACGTTCAAGCTGAACTACTCTACTCCTCTCGGCAAACAGGGCAACACCTCCCTCATGCAGGTTCATGCGCTCATTTTGGGCCAACGTACATCGCCCCTTAATTAGACCTTTGGGAACAAATGGCTTTTTGCTTGTTAAGCCTACAAAAGGTCTCAGGACCTTTTGCTCCGGGAAGAGCAACCCAATGTCTGCGGTCAACACTGGTATTTTGTACGGGCACCTAGGGGTACATGGTTGGGACGCTACGAACTGCAAGATAAGTGTCCTGATGTTTGAGGGGAAACGTAGGGTGTGCAACCGGCTTTCAACCTTTCAAGGCAACGCCTCGTGCCTTTCACGGGAGCGGGCTGGCCGAAGGTTTCACGGTTTCCGCGTTGAGTTGCCAAGGGACATTTTGAGGGCCTAGTAGAGGGGCTAAATATGTATTAATGTTGACCTCAGATTGATAAACCCATCCTACTAATAGGGGGTACCCTCCAAAGCAAATGATTCCCCACTAAACCAGGGACCCCCCCTTATTAATAAACAGAGGTTTATAAATCCGGGGTCAACATTAACAGTTTACTTGTGTCTTCATGACCAGATTTGGTTTGACAGTTTAGAGCAACCCCCCCACCATTCCAATTCTTTAGGGCCTGTTGCTGAATCAGCGTTCCCAACAAGGATATACTCAAAAGGGGGAGCCTGTGAAATTGGCAATTTGGAACCCAAACCGTTTCTAAGCCTCTTTGAACAGCCTTTCCAAGGTTTGCGAGAGCTTGGGGAGCCTTTTCAAGAGGCTCACAAGCGGAGGCATTAACACCATTTTGTGAATCACGGGGAGGGGCAGTTACCCGATTCGCAGCCCTCTTCATGTCGCAATTCATGGCCAGTCAACTCAGCAGCTCAGTCATTGATTTGCAAACTCTGCACCTGCAGCATGAAAGGATTGCTCCGAACCATGCGATGACCAAAGTTTGGTCATGTTTGCGCGCGGGTTCCGCTCGCCGGTTGGGTATTTTCTCTACCCTTGTGCCGATGGGCCTTTGCTAAGGTCTCCTCCAAAACAGTTTAAGATCATGGTGGATGTTGGGGTAGGCCAGATATGGAGCAGACTCGAAGAGTATTGTTTTCTGTGACCAGGTGTGGGGCAAGCTTCTTGGTGGTTCCAAGGCATACCCTTAGACTTGAGCTCTTCTAAGGTTTACCCCCTACAATGCCGCGAGTTATGACAGTTAGGCCTTATTTAGAGCTTAATTACCCAGAATGTACCCTTGTTGTTTTGTCTTATCCTGAAGAGGTGTGTTCCAGAGGTCTGGTGTTGCAACCGTTTACACTCAGGTTTGGAGCAACCCTGTTTTATGGTTTCGGGCGCGGCCTGACAGAGGCCTGACTCTCTCGCGGTTAATGCTTTCCGTCTCGCTGAGGCCAAAACAGCCAGGGCAAGGGTCGACATGTTGCACAGGGTCCGTCAGAAACGGGTGTATCCCTATAATTCCGTTTGTCCGGCCAATTTCGAGTGATTGCCCTTTGTTGACGGGGTCTCTTCATGATGGAAATATCGGAGCCCCTGCTAAATGATGCATGGTTGGGCCAGTCAGGCAACTACTGCTACTGGATTGAAAGGATTCCCTGGTCCTGGTAAAGCAGGCGATTGTTGGTAGCAGATGTCAAAGTCGCAATGATGAAGCACCACGTTTCAATCACTGGCCTGTCTTGGATGGCTTTAGCCAGTTTCTAGTGCCAGGCAACAATATGGGTTCTCTATTTTTGTAGGAATCGGACCCCAAACTGGTGGTTGCCCTTTTGGTTTCTCTTCAAAACCACCAAGCAAAAGGGCTGCCCTCAAAAAGGACATCCCCATTTATGTTGCATAGCGGAAAAGGCAAGCCCTCAAGGCTTTGTTTGGCGTCTCTGCCTTCGGAACTTGAGAAGGGCCAACAACATCAAGACGTGTCCTGTTTTTGGTGTTGGCGGAAAGCAGATGGTCCTGGTTGACTTGGTTGAGTCCTTATCTATCTACCAAGGAAATGCATCTATTTTCCCAAAAGCTATACGGTGTTTGTGTGTCTCCTGCCTGTTTCGAATAACATGTCTTGGCTTTCGCGATGCAACAAGCATCATGTCTCTGACTTCGAAAGCCCTGCAACCAGGTGGGACTTTGGAGCCTTAGATCTTTTGGAAGCTCACTGTTTTCCGCTTGAACCTGCAAGACACGGATTACCCTATTTTCTGGGGTCACATTCTTTTCAGAGACACTCATAAAGGGTGGAGAAAAAAATATTCGAGTGGGGGAATGGTTCAAGCTGAAGGTATTCCTGTATGGTGCTGCGGATTATTCCCAAAACATCAAAGGGACAAACCGGCCAAGAAAATCAACATTATGTTCCACAGTACTGAACAGGATCGGAACATCTTCGACTGAGGGTGGCAGACCCTGTTTCAAGTTGAAGCAAAAGATCTGCGAGGGAAGGGCCTGATGAGTACGACCCTTGGACTCCATCCGAAGCCGCGGATTGCGTGGCGACCTCAAGGATCCCAAGGTACGAGCGGAAAACCCGTGAACGTCCATGGCTGAGGGATCCAATTGGCTACGGCAGACAAAATGTACAAAACATGGCGCCTTGGTAAATGGCACCAGAGACTAAAACCTGCCTAACTCTAGCTCTGTAATTTCGAGCCACACCCAGTTCTTATTGCAGATTTGGATTTGCAGGCACCCTTTTCCTTTCTGGTATTTGCAGAAAGGGAAACGGCATCGCTGGTGTTTGGGGTTTCTGGCTGTATCTTCCCCATTCTTTTGAGCTTGTCTTGAAAAGGGCCATCCCCTGGGAAAATGGTTGCGGTTTCTTTGTTGAGAACCATTGAGAACATGGGTGAAGAGAATAGTTGGAATCAGGCCTTGAAACATCTTACAACCCCTGTTTGTCCCTAGAATGCACCCGATGAGTCAACCTTTTATCAAGAGAGAAAGGGGAAATCAGCCCTTTTTGAAACCTCCAACCGTGGTGATCGTTTCAATGGAAACCACCTGTAAATCGCAACTGTTGAAGGGAGCATCCACTGAGCCCTGTTGAAACCAGGTTAGAATTTGCAGAGCAGCTCAGCAGCAGCGGAACTCCTGCCATGGTGGCGTCACGTGGGTCGCAGATTGGGAAGAGGCCGAGGCATGGCCTTTTTCGGGAGGGATGCTCTCGGGGGGCGCTGGGGGGGGGGTGCAGACGGGTTTCAATAAACTGAACCAAGGCAGCTGAACCAACCACGCCCGCCACATCCAAGGGTCATGGAAAGATGTGCCTGGACCTTCAAACTCCGGGAAACTTCTGTGTGTTTTAGGAGACCCCTACGATTTACCGAATTACAGCAAAAAACACTTACGATTTGCATCGTTTCCAGTCGCGCATTGGCCATACAAAGCAAGTACACCTCGCAGCACTTGCCAACGTGCCAGTGAACACCATAAAATGCCTTGATCATTCAAAACTACAACCTTTTCTGATTTGCGGGAGTTTGCGGTTTTTTTTGGTGGTAGATGTGCGGAAATTTGCGGGTGTTTTGCGGTCAAAATGGAAACGTTTTTTCGCACCGCACAACTTTGGACCGCCGTTGCATGTTTTGGCTGCATCAAGCCGTTTACCCCCGCTTCTTTGCTTTAATCTGTCAAAGGCCGCGAGCATTGCAATAGTGTGCTTTTTAGGAGTCTTAGTTTTCAGGTTTTTGCGGAACAAAAACGCTACGATTTCCCGAATATCCACTCAAAGGCGCAAACTGAGTTATTTTTTCAGGAGGACGAAGGTCTAGGTGCAAGAGTTTTTTCAAGGGATTCTTCATGGGCCTCCCGTACGCCCTAGGCCTGGTTTCTTCACTGATTTCATGGGCATTGCAGCTACCATTTCGTTTCCACTTTGGTTTCCTTCTCTTTCAGGCGCGCCTGCGGGAGCCTTCGCACCTCGGCAACGTTTTGTTGAGCCTGAGTGGTTGCTTGCAAGGGGGGTTCTCAAAATAGGGATGCCTTGTTGGATGGTAAACAAAAAACATAAGGACACCACCTACTTTGAGGGGTCCGCAGTTTTGAGAAACACCCATGAAAGCAACCTTAACAACTCTGGGATACACCACCTGTCAAGCGGTGGGAGGGCTTTGTCTGACTGTATCACCAATCAATGGCAGCTGGCACCTTTTTATGTGGGTAAGGGATGATCAAATGAACGTGGGGAATTCTCTAGCTCGCTCTCTCTCACCCTCTCTACTTTCACCCCACTGCTTGCCTGGCAATGTCGCCAATTACAGTGGCCAGGAGGAAACCATGGACACTTTTTTCCGGGGGGGGGTCATTCCCAACAGCGAAAAGCTATGAGGGTCTGTGCCCAAACAGGTGGGCTGGTTTGGAGCAGCTGGGTTCTGGGAGGGTTCCAGGGCTGTCTGGGATACTTCCTGGACTTATTTTCAAAGCGAAACTCTTGCTCCGCCAAACAAAAGATCAAAGGGTACAAGGAATCCGCGACTGGTTTGCCCGGTCGACCCAGAGATATTCAAGAGCTCGCCGTAGCTCCTTTGCCTGGGGATCGAATTGCAGATGTTGGACTTTCAAAGGCTTGAGCTACTGACACCCAGGCCGAACCATGTGACAGTTGGGTGTGTCTTGTTTTAGTTGAGCCCCCGAATGGTGGTTGTCCCTTTGGTGTCCTCCTAAAAGCAAGCAAAAGGGGGGTACCCTGAAAAGACACCCCCCCCCCTCCAGTGAGGCCTTATGTAGAGCTTATGTACCCCTAATTTACCCTTGATTTGCATCTTGTCCTCAAGGGGTATGTTGCAGGGTCTGGTGGTTCAACCTTTGACAGTGCAGTTTTGTGATAGGCTTGCCAGACTTAGACTGGAAGGCCCTCATTTCCCTCAAGCAGGGCGATGAAAACATGAACTTAGCTTACCACCTTGTGTTTTAACATTTTGCCATTTTGCCCTTTCAACCGGCAAACAGTCATAACTTTTGCGGGGGCTTCTAAGTCTATCGTCAACTCCGCATAATCAAACAGGAGGACCGTACACGTGGTCGTTTTGAATCCACTCCGGAACTCCCAAGACTCTTAACCCAACCTTTTGTTTGGCTCTCCATCCACCTCTTGGTTTTGGCACCACAAAAGCGGTTGGGTTGAACAACAGTCTCAGTTGTCCAAGACGACTTGACCTGTTGACCTTTTGGTTTCCCTAGTTTGATAGTTTGATCCAGATCGAGTCAAGGTTCATTTTACGTTTAGCTCCTTTGGGCAAGTCGAATTGGGTCACCCCGAAGCCCAGGCTTTTTGCTGCTGCTGGCCCTGGCTGGGCCTTCCTTTGTGCCCGGCTCGCGGATCGCGCTCCGCCGCGCGCAGCGCGGGGCGCGCTCCTTGCTGCGAGCAGTGGCGGAGCCGCCGCCCAGGCTGAGGTTCCCGGAGACCAGCGTGGAGCAGGAATTGCGCAAGGCGGGCGAATTCAGGCTGTACTCAGTTGTTCAAAACGGATCGACCTTTCCGCACCTTTTGGTTTTTCCTTTTGGCTGCCACCTTGAGTACAGGTCCCAAAAAGGTGATCACTGCTTTGTTTGTTTTTGTCTGTTCTGGGCAAGTCAGTGCAAGTGAGTTTAGGAAAGTAACTTGTTCTGAAAAAAGGCTCAACCCGCCCAATATTGCCACAATACTCACTCCCTGAGTTCCTGGAATTCAATAATTTGAGAAGACCATTTTGGTGAAACACAAGCAGTTTGGACTTGTTTCTCAGGAAGTGAGAATATCTAGTATGCGACCTGCAAACCTTGTTCGGGGTTTGAAAGAGTTCAGCAACCGATGGCATCGCTCTATCCGTTCCCAAAAACAGTGTCATGGCTGAACTGGTGAAAGCTTAGAACGCCAGACACCAATAGCCCCAAAGATCCTACCTCGGCCCTGTAAGTGGCCCGACTTTGTCTAGTCGCACACAGCGTCGGACGCTACCAATGAGTTCGTCTCAAACTGGGGACTTGCTTCAAGTAATTCGGGGGTTCCCCTGCATTTCCCTTCGAAGCAGCGCGCGGAGTCATGGGAGCCCGGGATTGAAGCACGCAAGGTTGATTTTGATTGGGGGCAGTCATAATTATGTTGGAAAGCATCCGGTCTGTTTTGGTGTTATTATTACTTGTTTGTTTGTTTGCTTGCTTGCTTGCTTGTTTGTTTGTTTTTTTGGTGGGGGGGAGTACCCCGGCAAACATACGCCAGCTTGATCAGTTGCCCGTTGGGATTGGCTTCAAATTTGTCCCCCCAAAAGTTCCCCCAAACGGACACATCGTCGGTCCCACTAGGAGTGGACGGAGTGCCTCATCCGGAACCCGGCTACTTGGCCTTGCATGTCTCAGAAATGCACATGACTAACAATTTGCTTAAGATATGTTTTGTTTTTTCAGATTCTACTGTTTGGTTTTTCATTCTGTTCACCCATCCTTGTGTTCATAAACCGCATGGTTCCCTTAAGTTTTTTGCATTTTCCGGAAAAAGATGCCTGAATGGAATGGGAAGCTGCGCATAGGCGTTTAGCTTTGAGATCAGGCCACCATGGCGGATTGGATTAGTGGTTTAGGGGTTTGAACCCCAGCACATTTTGAAGCCAAATGGGGAAGGTGCCCCTAGCGTCCAAACCGCCAAACCAAACCACCAATCAGAGGTAAGGTGATCAATCACTACTGGACGTATATTCTCTATTTGCCAGGGGGCGAAAAAACACAAATGGAGGATGAGCAGCTGCTCGAAGCCAATCCCCTTGGCCACTTCAGAAGGTGGTTCTACTTGGTTCATTTGTGGTTTTTGGTAAAGCTTAACCATGGGTGCAGAAGTCAGCTCAGGTTTTCGGGCGCTCACAATCGCGCACATGAAGTATCGAGCAAAGAACCTTCATTTGGAGATGGAATCTCTTTCTCGGGGGCTGTTCTTGAGTTGACTCTATCACTACTCATTGCCAAGACATGGAGCCCCCCTTTGAACGGACTCCCTCATGTTCGTTGCAAATTCAAGCCGCTTGTGTTTGGCAGGTCGCAAGTTCCGTGCTGTTAGCATGATTTTGGGCATTTTAGTTGTTTGGTTCTGGCCATTTTTTGAAGGGGGCTGCAGAAAGCACAATTGTTTTGCTACCATACCAAGGATTGGAAAGGCAGGTTCTGCATTTTCTGGCTTCTTTGGGTTTGGATTGGTAGCAGGTCGTTTTCCCCCAATGGCCCCACGTGGCTCAATCCCAAAAGGCTGTGATGTGTTGCCGATCCATTTAACCTAAAGGGGCCCCTGAAAGCCACCAAAGAAAAGAATACCCTCAAAAGAAAACACACCCGCCTTGAGGGCACTAGAATTCAAAAGACCCAGGGGAACATCCAACAATGTGGCCCTTTAAGATGCTATAGAACAGGAGTATGGGGCCACCACCTTTTTAGTGGGTCCGTCACTTAGTTTGACATGTCGTTTTACAATAATCAAACAGCCAGATTCAAAAAGCATATTTTGGACTGGCAGAAGCTGAGGTAGAAAAGGAGAGGCGCCGTCTGGTTGATTAGCCGGGTTGCAACTTCCTTCTTTCGCGTCTCCTCCAACACTATCTTGTATGGTGAGGCGGGCTAAATATGAAGCGCGCATACCCTGAAAATAGGCATATATGTGTATGTTCTTGTATATGTTTCCGGTTGTTGCTTTCCAGTTGTACCGCAGGTTTGGAGCAAGTTTTGGGTTAAAAAGGCCCAGCCCGCCAAACATGTGGTTGTGAACTCTCTCACTCAGGATGCGACGAACCTCCGCATGGAGACCTGGGTCTTCCGGACCCAGGATCGGGCTATTGCCCGCCTTGTGACAAGTGCTCGAAGCTTCCATTGGTCAGCTTCAGTGTTGTTGGCATGTTTTTAGACTTTTGGGCTTGTGGCTCAGTTTTGGTGGGGCTGCGGACAAGAAGGTTTCTTGCAAGCCCCTTCCAAAGGTTGGAAAGTCAGGTAAGCCCAAACAAGTAGTTTGGATTGGTGGCGGGAGTTGAACCTTTGGCGTTTGTAAAGAAACAAACGCACAACAGCCGACAAACCACCGATTTCGCTCCAAACCACCAACCAGGAAGCTGAGCTTCCTGGACCAACCAGGAAGCTGAGCTTCCTGGTTGGCCATGGTAGGTCGGGGGGTTTGGCACTTTTTGAGTTCGTGGGCTTTAGGCACTTTTTGGGTTCGGACTGCTTTAGCAGACAAGAAGTTTTGGACGTTTTGTGGCCAGTCCACGGAAGTGAGTCTGCTTTGAACATCACCCTAGGTTGTTGGAAGTGAGCTTTCTTTGGGGCGATGTCATGGGAAATATGGGGAGCCCTGCATATGCAGCGAAAAGGTACCTTGGGAGGGGGGGGTCCCTTCAAAAGCAATCGATTAGGAATCAGTTTGATCATTCAACTTACTTGTTCTCTCTACCAACAAAAGAGTGGCCTTTTTGACATCGCGACTGAAGGGAAAGCAAAAGGAAAACTAAATCCAATTTGGGGGTCCAATTCCCAAAGCAGACGAGCCACCCATGTTGTCAGCGGTGGCTGGTTGACCATGAGCTCTGCTTGTTGGTTCGTCGGTTTGGTGAGGACTACGGGGACTTCGAGGACTTCCTGAAACTCCGGGGCTTTCAGAACGAGGGTCAGGCGCCTTGCAGGGTAACATGAACTTCCTGGCCTCGTCTTTTTTCGAGGCTCGGTACCTTCCTTTGGTTGGTTTTAAAGGGAAACCAAGGATAAATTCTGGCGGGGTCGCCTAAAGAAAGGACACAACCAGATGTAGAATGGGTGTCTAACCTGCAGGCTTTAGGTTGGGATATCCCTTTCAAATGCGGGCGGAAGTGAATCTGAGCTTTCACTTCCTTAAGGAATATTTGTTTGTTTTCCTTGGGTTTTTAAGGGGATCTAATTAAATGAGTATTTTGAGATTGCTCCAGGGAGCGAAAAAGCAAATGGAAGTAAGTTGCAGGGTTCTGCTTTGGAACATTCATGTCATGCTTCAACCTTTCGCACAAACACACACACACACATACGCACCCACCCACCCACCCACCAAGCCACCCACCCACCCACCCACCCACCCACCCACCCACCCACCCACGCACGCACGCACGCACGCACGCACGCACGCACGCACGCACGCACGCACCCACACACACACACCCACACACCCACCCACCCACCCACCCACGCACGCACGCACGCACGCACGCACGCACCCACGCACACACACACACACACCCACCCACGCACGCACGCACGCACGCGCACGCGCACGCGCACGCGCACGCGCACGCGCACTCGCACGCACACGCACACGCACACGCACACGCACACGCACACGCACACGCGCACGCGCACGCGCACGCACACGCACACGCACACGCACCCCCACCCACACCCACACCCACACCCACACCCACACCCACACACCCACACACCCCCACACCCACACCCACACACACGCACACACGCACACACACACACACACACGCACACACACACACACACACACGCACACACGCACACACACACACGCACACACGCACACACGCACACACGCACACACACACACACGCACACACACACACACACACACACACACACACACACACACACACACACACACACACACACACACACACACACACACACACACACACACACCCACACCCACACCCACACGCACACCCACACGCACACGCACACGCACACGCACACGCACACGCACACGCACACCCACACACACACACACACACACACACACACACACAGCCGCCCACTGACCTTCTACTGGCCCCAAAGTTCATGGGGCAGTAGAATCGACCTTTTTAACCTGTTGCGCTTCCTCTTTTCGCATTTTTTTAGTAAAGGTCCCTAATCCTGTATCAGGTTGGAAGGCTTGGGTTTACAGGCTTCATTCTGCAAGGAGTGTATTGGATCATGCGGGGCGTTTTGGCTCAAGTATGATCCAAACTGGCTTTTTTTTTTTTTTTAACTTCTGGTTTTTGCATGTTCGGCAAGGGTTACTTGTCGAATGTTGGCAGTTCCAGGAGTTGACGTGGCCGTTCACACGGATCGTCCTATCTTGTCCACAGGCGCCTACCTCGACTTCAAGCGCCATGTGGGCAATCTGCTGCAGCAGGGGAACCAGGCCCGGCTGCTCTGGCTTTCGGCTGTGGAAGTGTTGCATGCCCCCTTCGTGCAAACGCCCCTGCCCGTGGCTGATAGTGGGGAGATACCCCACCTTCAATTTGCACCCTGCATTGATGCCCCTTGTGCAAGATGTGACGGGTCTCTTGGCGGCTTCAAGTTCCCGTTCATTGGCACCTGGTGTCGGCGTGCAGTCTTGGTTCAAGGAGGCGCGTCTGCCGCGGAGGCCTGGGCCGCCTATCATGGGTGCTATGAGGAGGATTGCCTGTCAGAGGCCATGGTGGCTGAAACAGGTAGTGGCCTCGTGCCCAGGACATCATCCCGATGTATGTCTCCGCCATTGCTGGCCGGGTGGAAGCTTCATGGGGACCTGGAGGAGATGGAGCTTGGGGTCTCGGAGTTGGACCGAGCCATGGCCCAGGGAGGGTGACTCCCTGGCCAAAGCCACAGCGGGGAGGCTTCTCCGTGGGTGGCTGGACGAGGGGAGGAGGAACCTCCCTCTGGGCGGTTTTTGCGCCTACTGCAGCAACAGGGCTCAATCTGTTTGCGCATCATGTGGTATCCACCAATGCGAAGCCTGCCCCATCCGTTGCTGCCAAGGCTCTACGCTGGGGGGCTGCTCTTAGCCATGGCGTTTCGCGGTGACGCCACTCCCGGGCGCTATGCCACTGAAGCCATGGAGCACTCCGGGGGCGACCCGGCTCTGGCGAAGGGCTGATGTCTCGTGTCCAGGAGGCCAATGTTCGAGCTTTTCGGCACGGGTTGATGCAGGACGCCGACTTCGGCTTCGCCTTTGAGGCCATCGACCCTCCGGCCGGCCGGCAGTGCGGCTCCCCACAAGCAAAGTGGGCCTGCGTTTAAGGCAGAACCCGGACAACGCCGAGGCGGTCGGCCGCAGGCCTTCATGAAGCTGCGCGTCCTTCGACCTCGGAGGCATGACGACCCGAAGCGCTATGCCGATTGGCAGCAAGCGGTTCGGAGGCTTGCTCAGGAGCGAGTCACCCAGTCTGAGGCGTCCACGATCCTGAACGCGGTGAGGACGTACCAGGAGCTCTCGCTCTTCCTTGCAGCCAGGGACGTGCAGGACCCTGAGGAGTTAGACTTTCACGCCTTCCTCGAGCAGGCCATGTCGCCCTCTCGAGCGCTGCAGTCTTTGCGCTGGTTGTCCAACAATGGCAGGTTGCAGTGGCAGCTGGACCGCCTGAAGCCCCCCAAGGTTATTGGGAAGGTGCGCAAGGCGAGGTCCCAGGCCGTGGTGGTGGAACCGCCCATGCTGCTCACCCTGGAGGGCAAGATCATCGAGATGCAGCAAGCCCGCGATCCTGCTTGGACAGCAGCGCTTTCGTCGTGGCTAGTGGCAGCGGGCTGCCTGCGCTACAAGCACCTGAGCCTGTCCAGCCCGGTGAAGATCAGCAGGGAGTTCTTCCATGTCCACTGCCACAAGGGGAAGCAGGCCCACAACCGGCAGGGATTCGACTGGTGTGCACCAGCCCGTTTCTCTAACGGATGGCACTGGGCCGATAAGTGGCTGGAGGACTACCAGGAGCAGCACGACAAGTGCGGCATCTGCTTTCACCCGGTCTCTGGCCAGGCTTGGCCCATTCGGGAGGTGCAGAGGGTGACTCAGCACCTCTACCATTACCATGGCGTGGTGGAGCCCCTCGAGCAGCTCACGAGCTATTCCTGGAGGCGGTTGCTGCCGACAGTGGGTTCATTGATCCGCCTTCAGGACTCGGAAATTGTTTCCCTGGGAGACTGGCAGGACAAGGTCGAGGAGCGCGTCTCGATGCCGTTCCACTACAGCGGCGGCAAGTACGCCCACCAAGATGAGGGCCTTCCACGTGGCTGCCAAGGTCGCAGACTGTGAGGCCTGGGAGACGGTCACCGAGGAGGAGATCGCCGAAGCCGACGAAGAGGCAAAGGTCAAGGCTGCCCAGGCGTGCCGAGGGGACACAGAGGTGATCGGGGCCCAGGCACCGCAGACCACGGCGCTGAAGAGGCGTTTCTCCCTGAGCCAGTCGCTCGTGCACAACGCCCGCGAGCGGATGAGGAGGCCGGCGCCTTCGGGCCATGCCATCCAGGCTGGGCGAGATCTTCCTCACAAAGCATTTGAAGAATGGCACCATTGTGCCCGGACTTCAGCACGGGAGAATGCCGCCAAGATCCGTGCGCAAGGGAGCACTTGTGCGCGATGCTGCAGCAGACAGGCAGAGCGTGCGGAGGGCGCCACCCGGCCAGCGAGTGCCGAGCAAAGCGGCGGATGACCGAGGCTAAGCTTCGCGAGCTGGGGCTGCCCGTGCCGGCTGACCCTGCGGAGGTGGGAGCGACCCGCCCTGCAGGGGCGCCATCGGAGAATCTTGCCCCCGCCACTGCCAATCGCCCCGGCCGGGCCAATGTCGTCCAGACCGTCGGCCGAGGAGCTTCGCACGGCTGCAACAGCCGACCACGTTGTGAACGTTGAGGAGGCAGAGATCGGGGAAGTCCCTGCCTCGGTGGACACCAGGCGTCCGCCAGTCACGGCTGCAGCCTTCCCAGCATGCAGCCTCCAGGTGGTTTGCTTCCCTGAGAGGCTGGCCCAGCGGCAAGGTGTTCCCTTGTCCGGGGCTCACGTGGAGTACTTCGCCATCGCCCACGCCGACCGAAGGCAGGAGGACTGGGACCGGATCTGGCGGTAAGGCGCTCGCTCTACCACGGGGATGTCGTCATCGTCCACTGCATGGCAGGGCGTCACCGAGCCGCTCTAGCCGCGGCTATGTGGCTGGCAATGCTGAAGGGGATCAGCCTGGCGGACGCAGCGGGGGAGATCCGAAGATGCCGAGATGTGGAGATCACCAAGACCCTGCAGGACCGCAAGCTGCCGATGGGTGCACCAAGCGCTGGCGAGCTCCTCAGCAGGTGTGTCTGAGCCGGTGTGCACCGGCTTCATGGCCACCACTAAGAGCCAGGTCCACGTCAGCACAGCCAAGGGCTACCCGCTCTGCCAGCACAAGCAGGCAGCTCGTCGGGCTGATCGACTATCCTACCCGCTGACCACCTCGGACAAGTTCGAGGCCATCGCATGGGAGCAGCGCTTTTGCCGGACTTGAGCAAGTGCCCGGCTAGTTTCCTCCCTCAGTGAGCCGATTTTGGCCCATGGGCGCCGGATTCGGGTTGCCCGAATTTAGTCCCCCAGTTTGCATGCCATAGGGGTGCGGCGGGGCATTTGCCTGATGAAAACGGGAGCAGCAGGGTAGGGCATCAGATTGCCCCGACATGCATGAGTCACGGAGCATAGCCAGTTGACCATGTGGCCCTCGTTTTTCAGTCAGTTTCAACCAATTCACCATGCACCGTGGCAGGCAATACCAGGGAGGAGGCCGGGGGGCGTTACCTCCCATACGGCCGTCGGCTGCGGAATGCGGAGTAACCGGCGAGTGCACGCCAGGGATCCCTTCCCACACAACTTTTAATGAGTCGAGGGCTGAGTTGATTTGGGCTGTGCGTCCCCTCCATCCCCCCCTTCTGTTTCGTGGTTTGGGTAGTCCTTTGAGGCCCGAGTGACTGTGTTTTCCCCCCTGGAAATCGCATGGCGGCTTCCCTTGTGCCGTCGGGCCGATTGCCTGGACAGGCTCGGCAAGAATTTTCAACTGGCTGCGGAGGTAGTGGAAGCGCTTTCCAAGGCGGGCATCGCCAATCTGGAAGAGTTCCGCTTTTTCTTCGATGCCGAGGCCAAGGTGGAACCTTGGCTTGGTAAGATCCAGTTGGGAGCGGAAGCACCAATCCAGGCAGCCAGATTGCGGAGAGCCTGGCATGCAGTCTCGTTGTACTATAAGACCGCCGAGCAGGATCGCTCGCGGGTCGCCATCGAGGACCTCGATTCCCTCCTCGGGGACACCGAGTTGAGATCGGCCAAGGAAGCCTTTTGGGTACGTTACAAGCTCAGATTCCCCACGGAAGTGTACCCCAGTGATGCGGCCGTGTCCAGGGCTTCCAGGGAAATGTCCAAGCGTCTCCTGTGCGTGACATCCGTCTGGAAGGTGAAAACCTTGCAGTGGCAGCTCGGGACCTCGAGCAAGAAGCGCAAGCTTGGAGAAGGCTTGTGGACGGAGGAGCCGGACGAGGAGCAGCCCGGGCACCGGGACACCCAGGGAAGGCACCAGTTCCCGTCTAAGGAAGAAGCGGAATACTCGGCCACCCTGGCCTTCGCAATTGCGGTCTCGGTCAGTTGGTGGGCGGCCAGAGAAGGGCATGCCCGACTCCACGTGCCACGGATGCCGCCGCTGGAGGCGTGCGGCCGCAGGCAGCACTGGCTGGATATAGATCCCAGAGCTATGCGCAGCTGGGCGATGACTCCGCTGGCCATCACACTCGGGTTGCCACCGCTGCATCCGAGGAGCGGGCGGTGGTACGAGTGGCTGACGTACTCGCAGATGGCAAGCTGCCGCCGGACGTGGTTTACGTGGGGCAGGGCCACCACTCCCACCGGGTCCCACGGTCACAGCGTTCGTGCAGGGGCACACCTGTACGACGGACGACTGGCTGCCGCTCTACGTGGACTTTGTCCTTGGGCGGATCTGCCTTCGCTGCAGGGCAAGCGGCTGGCATGTGATTGCGGCCAGGACGGTGTCTGCGAGGCAGACGCGCTGGCTGGGATGGTCTTTGATGCGACCCATCCGGATGCCGAGGCTAGCCTCCCAGAGTCACTGGGTGGCGGCATAGGCAAGCCCGGGGCTCTGTGCTCAGGGCAGCGGCCATCATGGGATCGATCCGCGGCGGTGACGCCCTGCAGTCGATGTCACTCTGGTTTCCTTAGGAGGATGTAATTTTGGCCGAGTGGTTCCAATCTTTCCAGTGGCCCATGTTGGAGGACCTGTTGAACCAGGAACCCTTTACTTGCTACTTGGACTGGCGCCAGACCCGCGGGATGGAGTGGGACGGGCCCTTGGGACCACCCTCCTCGTCCAACGCTAGTCGGGCTGGCGGAGGGCAAGCAGCATGGGGCCTATAACCACAAGGCCTCCATTCCGCCTCTGGTAGGATATGGGCTGGATGCAGACGCCCATTTTGCCGCATCCGTGCAGTGGACCACCACGGCAACCCCGTTGGAAGTCCCTCCCACGTTGGATGACGACCTGTGGTACGCGGCCAGCGTGGTGATGGACAATCACAACCTGAAGGAACGCTGTCGGGCGTCCATCGGGGCCATCAAGGAGCTGAAGCGCAGGTGGGCGCCGGTGTCTAGGCACCTCGTAACCTTCCAGTCCGAGGCCATCCCTCATTACGGAGTCTTCCCCCACCAGCCCGTCGAGGCAATCGCCCATTCGGAGGTGCTGGCTGGTTGGGAGGAGCACAACGCCGCCACCATCGCGGGCGTGCGGCCGGGTTCCACAGACTCCTTCGTCCTCGAGCAGTCCACTAAGGATCACAAGGAGGGGTTCTGCACCCCCCCCGATGAACCTGAGCCAGCTCAAGCGATATGCCAAAGGAGACCCCTACCGGCTCATACCTCGCTGTGTCATCACACAGGCGTCCGGCAAGCAACGTCTAATAGACGACGCAGCACGGGGCGGGCAATCCGCATCGTCAAGAGATGCCAACAAACTAGTTTTGTGCACGCCGCTCCGCCCGGCGCTCCACGTTCAAGCTGCTGCAGCCTGCCTTCAGGAGTGCACCTGGGAGCGGTTCGCGCAGCAGGGGCAGTGGACGGGGGCCGGGGATGAGTGGCCGAATGCCTACCGCCACTGTCCCATGTCGCGACAGGAGGCCTTGGCCTGTGTGGTAGTTTGGTACCACCAGCAATGGCAGGGGCCCGCCTTCCAGGTGTACCACGCCCTCTTGTTCGGCCTTCCGTTGGCGGTCACCTCCTTCAACCGCTACTCTCGGATGGTGGAAGCTATGGGTAGGCGCTTTCTGGCAATCATGGTGTCCATGTATTTCGATGACAGCCACATCACTGATCGAGCAGTCCACGGCCCATCAGCCCAGTGGAGCTTTGGCGTCCTCAATGACTTGCTGGGCACCCTGTTCGCTGAAGAGAAGCGCCAGGGAGCCGCGGGAGTGGGTACCTTCTTGGGACTTGACTTCGGCCTCTCGGAGATCCACATGCATGGGCGTGCGCGTTTTTGGGTTCGAGAGCGACTCGAGCAGAAGGTGCTCACCTTCATGCGTGACGCCAGGAAGAGCGGGAAGTTCACCCTGGGTCAAGCCGCAAAACTCTACGGGATGGTCAACTTCCTGGAGCATGGCCTCTTTGGGCGCATCGGTTTGGGCGAGATCCAGGCGTTGAAGGAGCACCAGTACGGGGGCTCCAGCAGAGCCGGCGCCAGCCTCCTGTCGGCTTTCGATGTGTTAGAGGCTATCATCAGCATGCGACCAAGGAGGGAGTTGATGGTCCCATCAACGTGCCGAGGGTGGTGGCTGCCTCGGACGCTCTTCCAGGATGGTGGCGTGCAGATCCGGGAAGCCTTTGTGGCCATCATCCCCTCGCAGGTCTATGACATGCGGGGACCAGGCGACCATAAAATAGTCCAGTTGGAGCTATTCATGGTGGTGCACGCCCTCACGGCGAGACCCGACCAATTCCGCGGGAGACGCGGAGTGTGGTTCATCGACAACATCGCCAGTCTTATGTGTTTGATCAGGGGCAGGAGTGACAACCCCGACTTGGCCAAGATGGCGACGTATATTCAGTGTTTGCTCTTTGCGTTGCGAGCCTCCCTTTACTGGGAATACATTCCATCCAAATCCAATTGGGCCGACGCGATCAGCCGATTAGGACCCAGTGACCCATGGTACAGGGCCAACCACTTCAAGCTGTGTTTCAGTCTTTTCCCTCCAGCTCTACTGAATCTTCCGTACCGCGCAGTGATTACCTTCGCTGAGTTCCTGTGAGTGCATTGGGAGAGGTTGTGAAAGTGAGTGCCTTGGGAGATGCATTCTGCTTGATGCAGGGCATCCAGAGCTTGTCGGGGGTAAACCCGATGTGCCGAGGAAATCGGCGAATTGACTGGGCCACAGCATGAGGAAATTCATGCTGTGGATACCAACGCCAATCCCACAGGAAAAGGTGGGTTAGCAGATTCACATCGCATCGCTTGGAGTGAAAATGCTGCGGTGCTGTTTATATCAAACCTCCTTGGGAATGTAATCCTGTATCAGGTTGGAAGGCTTGGGTTTACAGGCTTCATTCTGCAAGGAGTGTATTGGATCATGCGGGGCCTTTTGGCTCAAGTATGATCCAAACTGGCTAATTTTTAACCCCACCCTATCCCGCCCTAGTTCACCGGCCCCCCTCGTTGGGACGTCCGTGATCTTTGAAGAGCGCGCCGCGCTTGGGGAATGCCTGGGGGACCAGGCCCCCAGTCAGTCAGTTAGCTCTGTGGTGGGAGATGCATTCTGCTTGATGCAGGGCATCCAGAGCTTATCGGGGGTAAACCCGATGTGCCGAGGAAATCGGCGAATTGACTGGGCCACAGCATGAGGAAATTCATGCTGTGGATACCAACGCAAATCCCACAGGAAAAGGTGGGTTAGCAGATTCACATCGCATCGCTTGGAGTGAAAATGCTGCGGTGCTGTTTATATCAAACCTCCTTGGGAATGAAAAAGCGATCACCCTTTTGATCCAGACAAACTGGGCAATTTTGCGCATATGTTGGTTCCAAAAAATCGACGCAAAGTGCATGAAGCCTTAAGGCCAGCTGAGATTGACCAAGTTCTTGCGAAGCCTTTCAGCCCTGATTACTTTACAGGTCCTCCTGTGGATGGACGAAGTCCATGTCACACCTAAGGCAAGAAGTACCTCACCCACAGAGTTGTCGGGGAGTTTCTCCGAATGTTTCGATGCTTCCCCACAGAAATTGGCGTGGCCCTTGAAACACCACACGTGGCCCACAAGTTTGGGACACACTTAAATGGCTTGAGCCGCTGGTGTTTGCAGAAACAACCTCAAGGACAACCAACGTTATGATTTCACCCATGGTTTCATGTCGTCCTGCGATGTCCGAAATTTGCAACCACCGTGTAATGCTCCGCCAGCGCCAACCTTTGACATCCCTTGGCCTTTGGAACAGGTTCCTCCGTTTGGTCCTTTGTTCGGTAAAGATTGCAGGTGATCCAAGGGGCAACTGAGTTGGTCTTTGTGCTCAGGAGGCCTCTTTGACCTGCCGGGAGCGCACCACGGATCCCGAGATCCGGTGCTCCGAGTGCGTGCGCCTGCTGAAAGGCGGCTTCTACGGCCACCTCGGGGTGTCGTGGCAGAGGCCCAGTGCGCAGTTTTCAGGTGCCCTTCCCTGCAAGAAGAAAACCTCGCAAAAAAATCCTTGAGAGGAAACTGATCCACCAGGTACCCTCCCACACCTGTGTGTGGGAGGAAGGGTGTGGATTTTCCAGGTATGGAGGTGATGTACCGCCTATATAAGGGGCATGTACTGCCAAGCATCCATACCTCCGAAAACCCTATCTGCAAATGCCCTTGAACAAGGGGGCAATGTCAACGGAATTCTCACTGCTTGAGTTCCTGCACTTTAGTCACTTTTTGGGCTTGGACCATTTTGGAGGCAAACAAAAAGTATGGACTCCGAGCCACCCCTGAGCGCGATCCGGAGGGAACTAATCCGAGGTTGACATGGGGGGAGGGGGACTCGGAGGATGCCGTTTATGTGGTTGGCTTGGTGTGTACCATTTACACAACTCGGCAATTTCAGCTTGTTGGGTCTTGTCTGTGAGTGGGCTCGGTGTTTGCGCCCGCCCATGTTTTCTGAGCTTAACTAGGTACCATTGTTTCGTACCACTGGTTGTTGGTTGTAATTGTGCACAGTTTGGTTTGTTGGCCGAGTTTGCCTCTGCGCCACTACATTTTATCTTTGGTTTATGTGTGCCCATGCAGGTTGGTTGGGTTTGGTGTCGTTCCTTTGTTTCTGCTTGGATTGGAGTTGCCTCCTTAAGTTTGTTGTTGGTCTACCTTGATTTTGCTGTATTTTTGCGCTTGACTTTGACTGGTGTTGTTGTGCTCATGTTTTGGTTTGGGTAGGTTTGCTTTGATTTTGCACCATTTGTTGGTTTCGATCGTTTCTGCCTGATTGTGCACTACCTGTTCGGTTTGGTTTGGGTTTGCCGTATATGGTGGTTTGGTTTGGCCTGGTCTGGTTTGGGTTGGTTTTGGCACAGTTGCTGGTTTGGTTTGGTTTTGCGAAGCCTAAACATGGCCACAGTTGGGTAGACAATGCACCCCCCTTGGCCATTTTGGTGGCACCAACATCTGGCTTAAGAAGGATTATAGTACGCTCATCGTAAGGTACACATAGTGGTGTCCTTTTTAGGCCAGTCTGGTTTTCAAAAATGGCATTGGTTTGGATGGGGTTTATTGCCCACTTACTAGGGCCATCTATTTTTCCAAAAGGCCACCTATGCCAGATCACATGTATATTTATACGTATATGCACACACCTTTGTAACCATTGCTGTAAAACCAGTCACCGGGTTTTAGTCGCTTTGGCTTCCTTTGGGTTTGCCAACCAAATTCCTGCCCTTGCCACGGTCTTTGGAGCAACCTGTCGGATACGACAAGAAATGGAGGTTGATTCTGGGTTCCCTTTGAACCGAGGGGCATGCAACTGAGGGTTCCTCAGCCTAAAACATCACCCTGATCCCAAGTTGGAAACTCAGCTGTGGTGATGGATCCTTCTTTAAACAAAACCAATTCGGATCCCTGCAACTGGGGAAACTTCCCCTACAATGAATGGATGTGTCGTTTTGTTGAATGCATCCTTTCTAAGGTTCGTTCAAAGGGAAACCAAAGGACCACCACCATTTTTGTGCGGGGTCGCCTGATCACAGCTACCGGCGAGGGATTGTTCTCTTGACCCCCGGTTTTCCACATGTTCGGTTGTGCAGCCACTGCTTTGGGCCTCCCTGGCCTTGAGAAAAGCCAAATGCGCGTGTCTTAAAGGAGGTCAAACCCAAAACATGTGGGTTTCCCTGTGGTTTCCGTTGATTTCCACACCAAAAACGGTCCTCCTCACTTGAGTTCATGGATTTTATACTTGTTGGGAAGCCCATTTTAGAGGAGGATGTGTTTTTGCCAATCCACTCGTTCGGAAGTGAGTTGGTTTCCCTTTAGATCCACACCAAAAAAGGTCCTCTGCAAAAACACCACATTTCCCGTGGTTTTCCTCCAAGTCCGCACCAACGGCCCCCTTAAAACATAGCAAGCGGGAGGCCCCCTTGCAAGCGCTCAGGTCTCGGTGCCCGCGTACCCGCCCCAAGGGGAGGCAGGGCAGCCGTGGACCTTGCGCCCATCTAGAGACCTTTGTTCGCTTTGTTGGCAAACCTTCACTGTTGGCCCATAATGTTCTCCCCGGATTAATAGACCCCAGTTTACGAATAGCCTCTTTTGCACCCCCATATTCACATTGATCGCGACCTTAAGCACTTATTCTCGCAATGGTGGTTGCCAAGCTTCCCATGAGACATGAAGGCTAGGTCAACTTGACTGTTGTTGGAGCATGTTTGTGGGCTCTTTTATAAAGCTTGTGCAGTCTGTTGACCTTTGCAAATTTTGGGGCTGTAGAAAACAGTAAGTTCTTTGCAAGCCGATACCAACGGTTGGACAGATCAGTCTAGCCTACCCGCCTTTTTTCAGGGTATAATGTCGACCCTTGTGTAAAACACGGGTGTATTTACCATGGAAAACCAGGGTTTTTCAGAAACACAAACACACAAAAAAGAGGGTATTTGGAGTAGGAGGTAAGTCTAGCCTCACCCCCCGAAGTTTCTGGACTAAAGAATCACTTTTTGGGTTACCCACGCCCAGTTTCGTGGTAAACAAAGAGTTCACGATCCCGACATTCTCTGGTCAATCCGACTGGCATCTCTCGACCGAAAGGTAGCGGCGCTAGCGGAGTTCCCTTGCTAAAGGCAGTAGGCAGATCGTGTTTTTTAGTTCATCCCCCCTCAAGTAATCAAGTAAGGCCTTAGTAATCTCTTCCTGGACTTTACACTTTGGAGTTTGGACTATCCTAGCGGGTACACAACAAGTTTGTAGGTTTTCTGGCCAATCCACTCAGGAAGTGATGTAGGGGGTTTCTCCCCCAGCCAGGTCTTTTGAGGCCAGGCCGTTCCACCCTGAAAGATGAAAATCATGGACTCCGGAATGGTGTGTCTTTCCCAGTAAATCCATTTACTTGTATCAAGTTGTATAGTAGGCACCAAGGGAACCACCCTTTACAAACGCCGTCCTGCAGTGCAAGAGAGAGAGAGAGAGAGAGAAAGAGAGAGAGATAGAGAAAGAGAGAGACTTCCGGAGCAGCTGCACTTAGGCTGACATCCAGTAGCTTAAGTCCTCTGGACAAAAAATCGATTCCTTTTTAAGACCAAAAGGAGTATGGCAGGGGCATCCACCGTACCCCTAGAACGCACCCAAAGTGTGCCATTCCAAGATGTGTCCACCTCGAAACCGCTACGTTCAAGGGAAAATGGGGCACACATAACCTTTACATGGTGGCTGTAATAGTGGTCGTATATTCCTTTTCACCACTGGGGGGGGTAGCTTTTGAGCAACCCATCTTATAGCCATCCGATCGATTTGGCGACTTGCTGATTTCGCCGAGTTTTCCAGGCGATGGGGTGCCTGGGGCTGTCAAAGGTCATCGACATGCCCGCGCCTGCCACGGAGGAGGAGAACAGATGCGGCATAAAACCGGGGCCGGGGGTAAAAAGAGGACGGTTTCCTTGGGGATCCAATGTTTGCGAGCTCACCGATTCGGGGCTACAACGAGCGAAAGCCATGATAAAGGTCCTTTGGATCCTTTAGTTCAGCTTTTGGAATTGCAGTAAAATTTGCAGAATCCAATCCTTCATGGTTCTTGGAAGACAGCTCAGATGTCGCGGCTAAAGCTGGATTTCCCCGTCAAAAGTTGATCAAGTTACTGGTGGAATCCATTGAAACGATCGCCACTTGGGAGGTTCCACAAAGGGAAATGGAGCAAACCCTGGATGTGGCTCACTGGGCCTGGGGTAAGACCATGAAGGTCCTTTGCTTGGGGATCCAATCCTTTCCGGTTTTGGATAAAGTGTATGCGCAGACAAAATAGGAACCACCAGAGCCAAGGGAAAAACGATGGTGTAAAGACAAGTTGCAACCCCGGCAGAGAGTGGCAGAGTGTTTTTGTTTGGCTCCCCTTCAAAACCAGCCGAAAGAGGAAAAGCAAAGCCCGAAAAAAAGTACCATGAAATTTGGCTCGAGCCAGTCAAAGCATGACCTTTGTCAAAAGGAAATGCAAATCCATGTTACAACCTGGTGAGAAAGATATGTGCCATGGTCAACAGACCGGTTCCCTTGCTTGGCGTTCACACCTGTTAGGTTGGCCCGTTCAGCGCGCGCCCAATCGTTTTCCAGAGTCATGCCGTGGCTGTAGGAAGGGTCGCCCTTGCGACGACCGTGGAACAATTGTGTGGGACACATCAAATCTGAGATGGTTTTCGCTATCCCCAACCCACTACCTCCAGCGGGTAAAACGTTTTTTGCTGCCACTATTTCAAGGGTATATACCTCGTTGTCCCCGAGCTAGTGGTTTGGTTTTAGTAGAAGCCACCTTAGTGAACAATATGGGTGTTCACTTGGAATGCCACACGCCCCCCAGCAAGTGCAAACCGACTACCCCGAAGGAGGCGTCTAGCGAGCCCGTCGAGAGGAAGAAAAAACCCTGATTAAAGAAAACACATAGTTGTTGAGTGGTACCCGCTTTCTTTGTATTTCTGGTGGTTTCGGCCATGCCCCAAAAATGGCACCCTTGTTCTAACAGACAACAGGGTGGCTGGGCAACGGGAAGAAGTCCCAGACAATGCCGGCGGGCTTCCCTGAAAGGATTTCCTTGGTGCGACTTTTGCAAAGACGGCGCCTAAAACCGCCGCCTGTTTTTCCGAGAGGATGACAGCGGGGACTGGGACGGCGCGGAGGGTAGGCAGACGGCCTTCTGCAACAGCGTGAACGTGCGCTTCGAGAAGGCGCCGTGTTTTTGTTTGCCTTGGGAGGTTCAGAGTTCGAAGGATTCGCAGGGGCTTAATGTTGACCCCGGATTGCTGAATCTCGTCCGTTATATTAATAGGGGGGTGGGGGCCCCTCCAAAAGTGGGCTGAATCCAACCACGAAAGCCAGGGACCCCATTGACAGTTTGCACGGGGCTTTGTTTGACTGCTGTCAGGTAACCCTTTGGCTCATTGTGATTGTTCCCTCTGAAGGCCAAACCAGAATGTGCACCCTAGAGATCTAAATCACTTTGGTGGAAACAGACTCCAACAACATATTCTGCCTGGTTGGGTACAAGGTTGAAACCAGATCCACCCTTCAAAAGCGAAACCAGACGGAGTCAATTAAAGCAACTCTTCTTAGCACCCCCCTGCCCAATCCCAATGTTTATTTGCTCTGGTCTTTCCAGAGGGGGTGTGTTTGGGCGTCCCCTCATACACACACGCACGTATATATATATATATATATGAGTATGGTGTGGGTTGGCCCATTGGCCACAGGCTTACTTGATCAATGGCCCAATGAAAATTTGCCCAAAGCGAAGCCAAAAGAGGATGGGAAGTGGCTGAGTTGTCCCAGGCCCCATCTTTCGCTTTTGGAGGCCCCTGGCGATCCTTCCTGAGCGCTGGATCCAGGTCAAAATCGGGGACCCAGAAAGGCAATCAAATCCTAAGGCTCAATAACGGGATGCAACTTTGGGGTGGCACCTGAAAGCGCCCCGCTACAGTGGACGTGGAATGATGTTAAGAATTTGAATTTCTCCCCCCCCCCCCTCAAACATATTCTAGCCTTCAAGGGGATGTGGGCATTGCGTGTGCTAGCCGCTCAGGTCGAGGCATGACGCGATTCATTTGGCGATTTCGCCTGCTAAGCTGAGAAAAGGACCGCTGATGTTTTCGCCGGTCAGAAGAACCAATGAAGCGAATTGGATACGTCCTTCTCATCCCCACATCCCTATCCCCGCAAGTGCGCTCCTTCGGGGCAAAACTTGTTCCGCGTGAAGATTACAGGGACCCAAGTGCGGGTGCCCTGTTGTTCCTTTTGTTTGGAGGCTTCTTGGATGTTCGCTTTTCCAGTTCCACTGAAGGGGGACTCATGAATGGGTTACAACCTACCTAGGTTACACCAAAGTTCCCTTTGAGATCAACGACCAAAAAAGGGGTGTTCCTTTTTGTTCAATCACTGGGCTTTTGAGAAACAATCAGCGCCTGCGAACCCAAAGGGTTCAATCACCATGTTTAGGTTGGGAATTTCCATCAGGTTGAAGCGTTTGCATCGTTGGGGCACAGAAGCCCCCAGAACAGCGTATCCATCTTGCTTGGCATGTATTTCCAATCAAGGGCTCCGGGCAGAATTCGCCGCTAGGAACAAAACATAGAGCCTGCACAGATTGCAGGCTCGCAGAAGAGCAGTGAAACAACCTAATCCAAGGAATCTCCCAGAAGGTCCCTTGACGAACATTCATTGTCTTCTAGGGTCCCAGGCAGGTTTTGTGGCGCTGCGTGAACAACCGTAAATGCGATTTCCGAAGCGCAAAAAGACAACGTCTTAAGTGAGCTGCGGGATGCTTCTTACTTTGCCCGCTCCGGTTAGCATTTAGCATGCCTGCCGGCAATTAACCCACAACCCGGCTGGTACTGTGGAAGCACGAAATCCTGGGATGGTGACTCCCCTGCAGATACCAACTGCTGCAATGGTTTCAACCATGGTTTCAAAGTGGTGCCAGATGGATTCGTCCATCCACAGCACCAGGGATCAATTTCAATGCTCACTTCAAATCCGTACCAGAGGATGCACCCGTAGAAGACACCCCATCCAAACCACCACGGGGTAGGGGGTCAGGTGATTTTTAGCATGGGGGGCACTTGGTTGCACAAAAAGCAACCTTCAGCTTTTTTGTTAGATTCCCTTTGCTGGCAAAGGCTGAAACTTGTTTGGCTGGGTCAAGGGCCAGCACAGTGTGGCAACTTCTTTTTTTTTAAGTTTTGCGTTTTTTTTTGTTTTGTTTTGTTTTTTGTGTTTTGGCTCTGTTCAATTTTAGTAAGGGGCTACCAAAAAGACATCTTTTCGCCAGCCCATACCAAGGGTGGAAAAGTCAAAACACCACGGGTTTCATTCTCCAGCGTCTCGCTTGCTGCCTTGGGCTGCTGTTTGAGAGCATTTCCAGAAGCTGACAGCAAGAAGGCCCTTTTGGAAAAAACAACTCTCCAGATGTCCATGGAACCTCAAAACAACTCGCCAATAGAGGCAACTCCTTTTGGAGAACCCCCCCCTCTCTGCTTGTGCCTGGCCGAAGTCTGGCCGGTCGCTGCACGTTAGCCCTGTGGCTCAGCCAGCTTAGCGAACTCACGCGACTTGACTAGCCGGAAAAAGCGCGGGAAAGACATGCCGCGCGGCTTCCTTTTTTTGTGCCTGGCCCTTTCTGACGCTGCGGACGTGGCGTGGGGCCCCAGTGGGGCTTGGGGGCAGCTCTGGGGGGGGTCCTGCCCCTGCGCACGCCGCAGATGGCCGATAATGCCTATACAAAGGGGGGCATGAGGTTTAGAATCCAATTTGTTGATGCAACTGAGGCAGGCACGCAGGTCAAGCCATTTTTACTAAGGCCAGCGGAGGTCCACCGTGGTTCCTTATTTTTCCCCAAACATGGTGCCTTTGTTTGTCTGGAAATCCACCGGAAACTCCGCCCAGCGCCTTAGAAACCGCCCAAAGCCAGGCCTCGCTCGCCGAGCGCGGCGAAGCCACGCGCTCCTCCGAGCGCAGCTCGCTGCAGCGCCATCGGATCCACGAGCTGGTGCATCTGCTGGACAGCGAGGCGGGATGGGTTCCAGCCAGGTTTCCCTACCAGTAGTGCACTTTTACCAACTTTTTTGGGGGGAGGGTTCCCTTTCTAAAATAGAGTACAGAAAAAAGGGCACCCTTATTCTAACCTCTTTACTGGAGGACCAATTCGCTAAAAAGGGGGAAGGCCCAAACTGATATGATACTGCGGATGGTTGTGAAATCTATTTCGCACCACCGAAGAAACCATGGTTGAAGCCGCAACGGTTGTTGGTATTTACGTTGGGGAATCTAATCATCCCAGGGTGACTCAACAGTGGTGCGAACTGGATTTCGTCCACAGTATGTTTCGCCTTCCGGGATCCCGCCAAAGGGAAAGAAACACATGTTGTGGGGAAACCATTCTTCGGGTGTTTAAGCTTGCCTATTGTGGATGGTTACAACATCCATTGAACGCACTGGTTGGGATTGGTGGTTAGCCCCATCATTTACAGCTTCATCTATCCATATCTATCCCAAGTGATGCGAATAATTTTTTTCTTGTCCGGAGACAGCTTTGTTTCGCTTTCTGGGACATCAATGCCCCGAATCATGTCAAGCCAAATTCAAACTCATTGAACTCATTGGCATCCACCCTATTCAGAGGAACCCTCCCAAAATAGATGTAATTTCTCTACTAAATTTGATTGTGTGACATTCGTTCGACGATTGACCAAAAGTGACTGAACCGAGTTTCCGCATGTGCAATGGGTGTCACTTTGTTTTCGGAATCGACAAAACAAAACCTTTGGTTTCCCTTTGCCACCCAAAAAGGGGTACCGACTCCAAAAAGGACGAATTCATTCATTGGCGCTTCCCTTTCATGAGCCACGAATCATGCAGCTTTCCCCCCTTGTTTGGTTTGCTTTGGTTGTTGAGGGGTGCCGAGCCTCCAAAGACGAGCCGCCCAAATCGGCCCTCTGCAAATCTCCGTGCAGGCAGAGAGTTTGAAGGCCATGGCGCGGACCCTCCGCAAGGAGATGGGGTTGGGGGTCCAATCTTGGGGTGGATATGGCTGGCGATGGGGTGGTCCATTTCTTGTTGGGTAAGGGGAACCACGGGTTGAGGGAACCCAAGTTCAGATAAGAATGTCTTACTCACTTCCGTGCCTCGACCTGAGTCACTGTTTACTGCTTGGGTTTGGACCATCTTAGTGGCAAACGAAGAGTTCCAGAACTGTTTTTGGCCAATCCACTCAGGAAGCGAGGTATGGGTTGGAGACGGGTTTGTCAATTTGGAGGGTTCACCGGGTTCACCCTTTGCGTAAGATTTGCTCCCGGAAAGCCCAAATAAACAAGACCTTTTTTTCGGGTCTATTTAAGGCGCTTAAGAGCGCACGCCCACCTTGCAGCATGTGCCAGCTGCTAGAAACCCCCAACCAGAAGAACGTCTTTCGGCCCTATTTCTCGTTCCCTGCTCAATTTCTGATCTTCCTTGACTTTTTGCGGAAACAGTTGTAGCGGCGAGCAAAAGGTTTGTTAACTTGCCCAATGTCGACCTTTTGACCTGTTGGTTTCGCTGATGTGGCCAGCATTTTTAGTCATGGCCCTGAAAGGTGATCACCTTTATTTCTGGGTCTGAACTGGGCAAGTGAGTTTGGGCTTGTTTCGCCAGCCAGGAGTCCGGAGGCATTGAGGATCAGATCTCAGAGGCGGAGGCGCTTTTGGGCCTTGTTTTGTTTTATTTTGTTTTTGAATTGGTTTGTTTGTTTGTGTGTTTTCATGTAACCCTTAGTAGTTGGTGGCTTGGAATGGAAATGGGAAGCCACCAAGCCACCCTTTCGAGGAAAGTTGATTTTTTGCTGGTTGCTTGACCTCTCCATTTCAGTTGTTCAAAACCAACCTTTGCTCACCTTTTGGTTTTCCCTGGCAACCACTTTTAGCATGGTTACAAAGCTGATCACCTTCTGCATGGAATGGGTCAGTTTTTCCACAGCAAAACGGTAGATTCATCCAAAGTTGACATTTGGACATCAACTTTGGACAATCACCTTCTAATTCTGGGTCCAACCTGGGCAAGTGAGTTCCCCTCCACGGTGGTTTCGCTTCTTCGGTTGGGCTCAGGAGTCTGCCGCCATCACGGCGGCCACTGCGGGCGTGGGAATGCTGAACTCCGCCCAGTCCGCCGTTGGCCGCTGGGACGCCTTCATGTCCTGTTTTTTCTGGGCTCGCCGGCCACTGGGTGGGCGAGGAACCCTGAAGTTTTGAGTTCAAATGAAAGCTAAACTTGCTTGCGACCAAAGCGAATTGACAGGACTTCACCTTTTGGTTTTCCCTTTTTGTTCAATTGTTTGTCATGGCCCCAAAAGGTGAACCTTCTGCTTCTGGGTCCGAACTGGGCAACCAAGCTGGGCTTTAGACTGCAAAGTTGATGCCGAGAGTGACTTGTTTTGTTCATGCGAGGTATTCAAAGCAAGATATTTAGCTGAATTTTGAGATGTAACTTGTTTGAAAATGATGTTTCCCCACTGATCACAAACGAGTTAACCATGTTTACTGGGCGCCATCCAGAATTGTATTTTTTTGTGGCTGCTGTTGCGGTTGTTTGGCCTGACACAGCCTTAGTTCAGCTTCCCTGCAATTGGTGATGTGGTGGTTAGGTGGCTTCCCATTTACCCTCTACAAGAAACAAGGGGCTCAAATCCTCAAGCACCAATCCAAGCCACCTACTGTAGGGGTGCTTTGCTTCAATAGTTTAGAACCCATGGATGGCTTAATTTAAATGACCAACAGTGTTTTCGTGAACCCTGTGCTAATGTTGGCCGGCTGTCCGTGTGTTCATGTTTGATTGACAGGAAGGCCATGGTTTCGTGGGTATTCTGCATTTTATAAAAAAACATGTTTGTCAACAGTTGGGCAAATGCTGACGTTATAATTCCCCCCCCCCCCCCAAACCTTAAGTTAATGCTGCACGCAGTCAGGGTGGATGCTAAAATTATCCCAAGGGGATAAATAGGTCCCAAGGAGCCCACTATGGATACCTCAAGGGTGTGCTCCGATACAAGAGTAGTTCAGTGGGTAACGCCATGGAACACAAAGCAGTTGGGCAAGGCTTTCGTATCCTACATCACGCTCGAACCATGAGCAGAAGGATTGCACATGTGCGGCGTGTTGAAGCAGCGCAACACAAGAAACATGCCCCCCCCCCACCCCCCACCCCAAACCGGACCGCATTGCAAAAGCCACCCCCCCCTTGTGGGGTTTGGCACCAGGGCCAACACACACAACACTGTTTTTGCAGACCAGCAGGGAAACCACACAAACAAACCCGGCGACTGGCATTTGTAAAGAAAGTTGTTTCTTTTCAGGGTCCTACTGTGGATGGACGAAATCCTGCAACACCCAAGAAACCCTGGAATGATGATTCATCTGCAAATGCCGGCAAACAATGGTTTCCAACCATGATTTCAATCCGGTGCAGGATTTCGCGCATCCGCAGTAACTCTCAACTGAACAAGCTTGCGAGACGTGGCCCGGATTTGCTCGTTCAGGTGCCACCAGAGATGCTGGTGCCAGAGATGCCGGGCAGGCGCGGGGCTTTTGTGGGCGTGCTCAACCCCCCCAATAAATAGGCATGTTTCCGTTAAAACAAAAACCCAAAAAGGTACCCTCAAAAATCACAGAAACTGGGTTCGTGGCGTTTTGGGGCTCAAACAAAACTATCAATTTTGGCGTTTCCCCATTTGGGCGCACCCTTGGGTGAATTGGGACTGTCTCAACCTGGTTCATTTTTTGCGGTACCGTCCCTTGTGCTTTTGTTGTTTCATGATATGAGGTTTTGAGCAGAACTTCACTTGCTGGTTCCCAGTAGGGAAAAACTGAGGCCGGGTGTTGGGAATGAACCGAAAGGGGATCCCCGTAAAGGAAACCATAGAGTTTTCTGTTTTTCCCCCCCGAGGTCATTGAGCTTCTAATTCCCTGCCAAATGCGAAGTCCTTTCTGGCTTCGCTTTCGTTGGTTGATGTTTTTGATGGGGATCCAAAACCGAAGTGCTTCAAGGGCAGGGGAGTCACTTGCTCAAAGCGTAGGCAAATTGGAGGGTAAGGGACAATCCCAGCCATGAATGGGTGCGATATCCGCCTTTCAATTCTTTACATGCTTCTGGGTGGGCCATTTTAATACCGGATTTTCATTGTGACTCAGGTGTATCCCTGTCATGATTTTGTCAGAGGCTCCGGCAATCAAGAGTCAGAAGCTGTGTTTAGCTTGACCTTGCCACAGTTGTTGGGTTTTTCGGTTTTTAGGGTTGAGCAGCAGGGGCAGGGGATCTAAGGACAGCCCAGGTTTGATCTGATTTTTAAACAAGGAGGCTTATGGATTCAATATTGCCAGCACCAGTTGGTCACAATTAGTAAACACGACGCGGAATCATTGTAGAGTGTTATGGGGCTTCGGTCACTCCTAAGCCTTAGGACAAATACTGCCTTAGGTTCAGTGGGTTCACCCTCTCGCTCCCTGAGTTCCTGGACTTTCAACTTTTTGGGAAGACAATTTAATGGTAAGCAGAAAGTGTTTATGCTTTTCTTTTTGACAATCCACTCAGGCAGTGAGCCCTTACTGGCCCAGGCCCCAGAAAATGGCCTGATGGACCTCACTTCAGCCAAGTGGAGCTCAAAGCCCAAAGTGGATCGACCTGATCCAGCCATTTCGTGTTCAAGAAGTTTGGCCTTTGGACAAGGTACAGCAGGCCAACCTGCTGTTGTCAAAGTCATAGCAAGGGAATTATATAGTTATTCTCTAGAGGCGGTTGCCTCAATTCAAACCGGAAGCTATTTTTGAACCAGGGGTGGTTGCACGACAACGGAACTCGCCCAGCCTCGTGGGGCTTGCCAATGAAAACATTGTGACGCTTGCTTCGTTCTGGCGACTGTGTCCCCATGCAATGGCTTGATGGCTCCCGCAGACACAGTTTTGTGGCGCTGAATGCATCGTTCATGGCCCGGCAAACGCGGGAATTTGTTTTGAAGGAAATTGCCTAAAGAATGATTCCCCGCGTGTGCATTCTTTATGCTGGCCAGGTGCATCGCTGGCAATTCCGAGACATCCTCCTGGAGAAACGGGGGGGTAAACCCCATAGCTTTCGCACCCCGCAGGAAGTCGCCACAATGGCACAATAGACCGTAGCGTAAGCAGGGAGAGAAACAATCACGCACATCTATACACATCTTTTACTTGTCAACATGATTGTTAAACAAGTCCACATCGCCATTCTACCTTTTTTTGAGGGCCGAAGAGTCAAGAAGCATCAACTGAGAGTGTACCCCACCCCCCCCGCAAGCGGCTGGCCAGGCCCTGCGTGGCTCTCCAGAGCATCCTGGAACGCACTTGAGGCTCTCGTTGCTGGTTGAAGAGATCCCCTTTTTGGAGGGGGCTTCCATTTGGTTAAGAATTGTCTTTCTTTTCTCCTCTTGGCCTTAAAGGGAATCTATCACTACTGGAAATATGCCTCATGTTTTCGAGGGGACTGAAGCAAATGGAGGGAGCTTGTATTTGTTGGCCCCTGCTTTCAAAATCAAGGGACCCCTGAAAAAGGGGTCTACACTTTGAAAGGACGCTTTGTTGCCCAAACGCGCTCACGCACGTTCCTTGAGTGCATGAATTCGCGCCCTGAAATACCGCAGAACCCATATTCCGGATCCAATTATGCAAGTGGCCGATCAAGGCCACTCTCCAACAGTTTTCCCTTGTGGATAGCGCGAAACATGGAGGGACTTAACCCGATGCTTTTCCTAGGGGGTGGAGATTAACCCAACGCAGCAGCACTGGATCGGGATTCCAGATCTGTCAGCGATCCCTTTATGTGCACGGTCTCTTCATTCAGGCATGTTTGTTGCTTTTTGGGTCTCCTCTACATGGGGTGATGCTTATGTAGCGTCAACATCGGGGACCCCCCCCCAGGGAAAAACCATCGGGGATGTCCTTGTGGTTTCCCTCCAATCCAAATTAAGGGTACCCAAAATGACCAACCCAAAGGGCACCCTCAAACGCACAACTATTGACCAAACATCCATGCGAGAAAGTGAGACACCCTGCGACTAACATAGCACCTGTGGGAGGGTACCTGGAAGATCAATTTCTCTTGAAGGGGGCCCCTTGTCAGGTGCCATACTCGTAGGGGGGAGGTAAGCATCACACCTAGAAGCTTGTTCTAAACCAAGCTACCCCAAAATGCCACGCTAAGATGGGCGACTTCCCGATGGCTGAGGCAGGTCCGAGCGCAGTCCCTGGAGGAGTTGGGGCGCTGGACGCTCAGATGGCTCGTGCGGGAGGCCTTGGGGCTGGACATGTCCCTTGAGGAAATGGTTCTTCCAGGTGCAGGGGGTTCGCCATATTGACCAGGGATAAACACCCTTCCAACGCAACTCCAAAACCACATCCAAACATACTGGCTAAAGCCCGGCGTCGAACAGCAGGTTCTACTTTTGAACTTTTGTTCCTGCAGATGTTGATCCTTCCGGGGGGGAGGGCTGAAGTCTTCACCCAAACCACACCCATTCAAATATAGCCTGGGCATCTTTGAATCCCCCTTCAGACCGGCATTGCTGTCCATTTCGGATGGGATTTGCCAGAAGCTTCTCTGAGGAAGCCCATGCATTCGGTTAACTTGGCGGTTCCCAGCTGGGTTTTTAGTCTTGTAGGGCTCAGTGGTGATTTCCGTTTAACCTCCAAGTGAAAAAACAAGCGTTTAGCAGGGGATGGATTTGGACAGCCCAGTTAAGTATTCCGAACGTTTGTCATGGCATGTCATGGGGCGTGCCTTTCGTCTCAAATGGCGGTCGTGGTTTGGACTGGTGGTCGTGGAGGGTTCATGGATGTACTGTGGGTCATGTAAAGCCATCCATGTGTTCACAACTAGTCAAGTAACCCCAAATTGGTGAATTGTAGATTTGGATTTGAAGCCCTTGTTTCTTGAGGGCACATGGGACACCCCGTTTCACTACCACTCCGGGCTCCAAACCCCTGGCTGTTGTAGAAACGGGGTGGTCTCAAAACCTCACTGGGTGCTGTTTTGGACTTTAAACTTTTTGGTATGACCAACCGGTGTTCTTTCCAGATCCCAGTGACTCCTGCCAACAACCAGCAAAAAGGGTTGCTTAGAACTTTGGGCACTTTTTGATTTTTGGCCATTTTAGTGGTAAACAAACAGTTCGGATACTTTTGGCAAATCCACTCAGGAAGTGAGAAACGCTGGATTCAGCCTCAGGGCTTAAACCTTGGCTTGTCTTCCTCACGTCCTGAGTTTGTGGACTTTGAACGTGTTGGGTTTGTACCATCTTACTCTTAAACAAAAAAGTGAGTTTCCTGTGTTGTCCCCTTGGTAAAGACCACGTTTCTACCCTTGTGATCGCACTTTCCAAGAACTCTTGTTTGGACGGCGTTTTGAATGCAACTGAATCCTGCCCTTGCCCAGGTCAGACAGAGACATCCTTTGCGCAACTCGGGCGCTGATGTTCCCCGGTCGGGTGCACGGGTCGCCGGTATCTATCAACAAGGAGGGGTATCTAACTTGATCTCAGTATTTGTTTTGCTTGGATGGTGGGATGTCTGGCTCTGTCCATGTTTTGTGGGGGGGGGGCAAGGAGCCAACTTTTTTTTGCTGACATGCGTGGTTGTTTTTCTGTTTAAAGGGAACAACAATGGTTGGTTTTCCCTTTGTCCATTTTAAACTACTAAAACAGATGGTACCAACCCAAAAGAGACGCCCCTACATATCCAAGAACCCTCCAACATACCCTGTTGCATTCCCCCAGCTTCTCATGATGAAGATTCTTTTTCATAAGGTGTTCGGGGTATGCTCAAAAGGTATGTTGGAGGTTCCTTGAAACATAGGGTTGGCAAGATACAGGTTTCCCAATGTGGGGACTCTCACCCAAGGTGTCATCCCGCAGGATTCAACCGAGCTCGGGCCCTTGGGCGTCTGAAACGACATCGGGCTCTCACAAAGGGGCCTTGTTTGCGACCGGAAAGCCATGCAGGTGGTGTTTCTATTGTTTGGGGAAGGTGTGGAATTACTATAAGTGATGCAGGCGTCAGTGTTTCTTTGCTTGCTGGCTTGTTTGTTGGTTTGTCTGCTTTTTCTGAATGTGTGTCTGTCTATTTGTTTGCTTGTTTCAGGGTACTCGGTTGGGTTTGGAAACCTCCTGGAAACCAGCTACTTTGGCGGGGTCGTACTTCCACTATTTGGAGACCAAGCCATTCTTGCGAACCGAGGCAGCAAGACGCGCGGCCCGGGCGGAGCCATGACTGATTCAGTGCGGTTGGGTGGCGGCTCTTTTCTAAAAACACATTGACGTGTCCAAGGCCTGTTTGCACGAGAAGCTCAGTTGCTTAAGGCCGCCCTTTTCACCTCTTGGTTTTCACTGTTTGGTCCATGTTTAGTGATGGTCTCGACAGGTTAACCTTTAACTTAACCCTTTGACGGTGGCAACCCCCTTGGAGGTTTGCCTGGAACCCCAATAGCCATCATTCATGGAGGAAGCTCGTTTTGGGGCACCTCCCTTTTTGCTGCTCCCCCCGCCCCCCCCCCCCCCGAATTTGCATATTAATTGAAAGATGTCGTGCTTGTTTTGAAGGAAGGCCCAGAGAAACCAAAGGAAGGCCCGCCTTGCCGCCTTGATTTAAGGCAACTGTTTATCCAATATGATCCAACCCTGTATTTTGAGAAATGTATTTGTCTTATCACCTGCATTTGCTTGTTCGTGCCCTGGGCAAAATGAAAACATAGTTCCCTTTAAAATGAACAGCACACATTTCAGCACTCCCTCCCCCCTCTTCCTTAGCACCCGAAATACCACCGGCCAGGCGGTCGCAAACCTCCAAGACACTGTCGCCGGAGGCAAGGCAACCGTCAAGTCAGCCGGGCGGGAGGGAAATGATTGGATTACCCTGTGAATACCAGCAAGCAATGGTTTCAGTCATGGCGTCGGTCCCCTTAAATGGAAAATGGTCTTCCAGAAACCGGTTCCTTTGCAGGGTCTATGTTTTTTGGTGTTTTTTTTGGGGGGGAGGCATGCACTTTACAAATCGTATATACGGCCCTCATCTCCTTAGTAAGTTGCCCAAAGCGAACTGACCGAATTTCAGACCTTTTGCTTCTCCAGTTGCGATCACCTTCAAGGGCGACCCCTAATATCCGGAGGGCTGTAACCTTTTTGGGCAAGCCATTTTAGTGCCAACAGCATGTTTCCTTTTGGCAATCCACTTTGGAAGTGAGAAATCGGGCACCCCTCCCCCCGCAGAGCTGGGAAATGATGTCGGGACCCAAAAGAACAATTCTATAAGACTGGTGAACGAACCTCTCCTAGGGGCTTGTTTGGGTGTCAACTAGGTGATTTTGGTGTGCCAATAGCCACCGCTTCCACCTGAATAAGCAATGCACAGTGACTATTTCAAAGGTTGCCTTTTGTCAAAGGCTAGCCCCAAGCAGGAATCCCTTGCGCTTGGCATGAACACAAGACCACGCGACCTCTCCAAAGGCTTCTTGGTTGAAACAGGTCAGATTTTCCGAATTGGACCCGAGTGAAACACTTTTTGCAGAGGAGTCGCGTCAGCATCCCCGCTTGGACCTCTTCAAGAGGCAGTTGATTGGATCCCATGGGAACTGGGAAAGTCCGATGACCAAAGGCTTCAAAAAGGAGCAAAACCCTGGCAAAAGGCGGTGGGGTGCCTGCACAGGGTGCATGAGGCCACCTGTTCAATTTGTTGGGGGACATTGAAAAGTGCTCGAATCACGTTGCAGTTGCCTGTTCCTTTCAAACAATGCTCAAGAGGATTTGGGGCCCGCTGTCCTTAACATGTCATAGAGCTTTTGTTTTGCTGCTTTTTGCGCTTTGTACATTTATTTTGTTATTTCTGTGTTTTGTCTTTCTTTTTTTCTTTTGGGGGGATGCAAAGAACGATGTATCTTGCGCACATTCCAAGGGTTAGAACGTCATGGCTGGTCTTTGGTGCGACCGAATCGCCCAAAAGGAGACGCGGATGTTGTTGGAAAAAAGGCTTTTCCGTTTTGATAATCTACAAAACGTCTTTCGCTCTAGGAAACAAACGCAGGGAGCACCCCAGAAGTCTGGCTGCTGTTTTATTCGCGCCAGGAGCAGCGACTGCAAGCGCTGCTGGACATGCGCAGCTCGGTTCCGAAAGTGCAAATGCACACAAAATCATGCGTCCCCACCTACAATATGAGTGTTTCTCTTTTTTCAGGGCCCCCGCTCCCAAAAAGAAGAAGAAGAAGAAGACAAACACAAAAACACTGTGGTGCTAACCAGGAACCGAGCCCCGATGGAACTGCGTGGGCGCTGGCAGGTGACCCTCCCTAATGCTTCCAGCTACCTATGGGTAGCCAATACAAAGCAATCATGTAGCACCTAGAGGTAAACATGCAATTGTGGCTACCATGGCTAGCTACTAAAGAGTGGTAACCAGAGGCACTGGGCTTCAGATTAATTTTCCGAAGGGCCCGATCCCACCGCCGCAAGCCTCTTACAATCTCAGACCAGGCTTACGAAAGTCGGTATGCGGTATGGACTCCCATCTGCGGGGTAGGTTCATTATGTGGGTAGTTAGCCCCTTTCGGGTTCCTTAGGGTGCCCGACACGGCTTAGAGCACCCCCGCGCCCACTTGGACCACCCCCGTACTGGGATATTCCTTCTCCTGCCGCTGTACGAAGGGATTAATCTCAGTCGACCCTGAGGTAGATTTTGTGGGCCTTTGAAAAGGAACCAACTGTATGAGTGTCTTCCTCTTTGAGCGTATCCGCTCTCTCTCTCTCTCTTTCTCTTTGGTTTTTGAGGAATTCAGGAGAAAGCGACTGCGCGGAGGGGACCGTTTGTTGTTTAAAGGGAAACCAGCACCCATTCGGGGGCTCCCTAGATAATCGACGCCCAAATTGTGATGCTAGGGAAGTGGAACCATAAGCTAGCCCACCTGCTAGTCCAGTGGGACGAGCCACATTTCCCCTAAGCACCAGGATAACCATGCGACCGCCCTGTGCTTGTTCCGTTGGGGAAATGTCGCCCGTGGTCATGCAAGCACAAGCGATGCAGTCCTCAGTCGCAGCTCGGCTGAGGCTAACCTCGCTGGCGCAACTTGGGAACTCGCGAGTTCTGCAGCATCCCACAGGTCCACCAGTGACCAGCAGGGTAGGGCAAATTTGCTTAAGAATGTGTTTTATGTTCCCCATTCGGTATTCAAAGGGAAGCTGTCAGTATTTTCTACCTCTTGTCAGTCCCGTTATCCTTTTGAGAAGCAACCCACATGTCCCCTTTACGACAAGAAGTGTAATTACTTGTTCAGCAGTCTTTCAAAACCCTCCTCAAGACACCCCCATGCACTTGCACACTCCGCATGTGTTTTACTCATCTTTTGGTTTGCCACTAGTGTTTTAAACTCAGAGACAATCAGGGAGACAGTAGGAGAGACGGGCAGCTCAGCTTCCATCGCCCAGTCCGCACCGCAGCTCGAGTTAAGAGAGGCGACGACGCAAGCAAAACTGCGCGCTGGTTGCTTTTGGGGTTTGACGTGGGCAACTTGTCTAGGGCACGCCCTAACAGCAACATGCCCCTCCTTGGAATTAAGTTCACGCGGGATGCAAAACACCGCCATTTCTTTCAGACGTCCTCACTGTTTCGTACAGACCAGACTTAGACCCCTTGCAAAAAGTCTCTCTTGCTGGTAAGGGCTCTCTGGGTGTGTCTTAAAGGGGAACCGCAAGGTTTTTGGGTTTCCTTTAGCACTCCCTAGACAACCCCAAGAAAGTACCTCAAAAAAAGAACATCCCGAAGGAAGACAAGGGCAAACAGTTGAACAGTTTGGTAATGAAACCAAACTCCAACCTCCGTTTGGACTGCACCAACGGGGGGTCCATACTGTGGATGGACGAAATCCATTTCGCACCACTTTGAAACCATGGGAAACCAGAACGTTTGTTGGTATTTACAGGGGGATCATCATTCCAGCGCTTCTCAGCTGGTGAAGGATTTTGTTCATCCACAGTATGTCCATTTCCCGGGGCAGAATTGACACAAATCGACTGCAGCGCTGCTTTTTTGTGAGAATCCCCACAAACCTGAGAACTCCTTCATGAATAGACGTGGTTATCCATCTGCCAATTTTATGGCGATCTCACCTGAGGCAAAGAGACCTCACCCATGAAGGTCCTTTGCTTGCAGATCCCTCATTTCAGCTTTTGAAGTTGTTGTAGCATGTGCAGATCCCAACGACCATGCCTTTCCACCTTCCCACCCGGGGTTCCATTTTCGGTTTCTCGAAGGGCTATTTGTAGATGTAGTCGTTCCTCAACTGCTTCCAGCTTTGCACGGCCCTTCGGCCAAATGCATCAAAGATGAGGTTGAGCCGTTGCTGTTCAAATCGGATGTTTCCAACGTTTGGTGGCTTTCACCTTCAGGTCAGGTTTCAGTTCGTGATACGATGGGTATTGGGGTTTATTTATTTTAACTGGTGCAGGCTTCTGTCCATCCAAAGTATGGCTAACGCAGGCAGGATCTTAGCGTAGCTGCTTATTTAAGCCACAACTGAATCGCACAGATCCGGGACAACCACCTGCTCATGTTGTTCATCGCGGATTGGTTCCGCCTCAGGTTTCCTTTCACATGTCTACATTCTACTAGTTGAACGGTCCGCGTGTGGGCTCAGACCAACTCACTTGCAAACCCAAATCGAATTCGTTCCTCACCTTTCGGTTATCCATACGTCACAAGCCAAAACATCATGAGTGTCACAACCCAAACACTGTTCAAGGCGACCCGTTTTTCTGTCTTTTCGGGTTCCTCAGGTGAGCATCCGCAAACATACCGCCATGGCGCGGTTCTCGCTGCTCCTTCTCGCCTCCCTCGCCGCCGCCGTTCGTGTGTCCGTCGCGTCCGCGTCCGCTGGACGCCTGGTGTCTGTGGCTGACCTCCATGGAGACTTTGAGCGTGCAGTGACCATCCTGGCGCATGCGGGGTTGATCGACAAGGCGAGGTCCCAAAACTCGACTGGGTCAGTCTTGTTCTTCGAGGGTGCCAGTTGTTCGGTTCTAGAAGGAAGCCATAGGGTTGGCCTAAATGTGCGCTCTTTTTCGGGCTCCACTACATGTATAAACATGTATAAAACATTACGCGGCTTTTTTGGTAGGTAACATGGGGATGAGCCCCCTGCAACCAAAACTGGATTCTCGTACGAGGTTGCGGCGGATGAGTTGAAGTCATTTGAGCAGCGCCCAAAACCGAGTCCCATTGGCCATGTTTGTGGGCGGTTAGGTTCCAAACCGGTTCAAGTTGCTGTACAAGAAAGTTATCGCAATGTTGCTGCAACGAAAAGTCAATGTCTGGCTTAGTCAATCAGAAGCAAGCCATCTTTTGAGACATACCCACAGGAAATCAACTTGAATTGACCGATTGGTCTTTCCATTTTGGCCCATGTTCAGCTGAGGTCCCGATCAGTATATTCTCGTCTTACTTATTTGCTAGAATGATGTCAACTTTGGATAAATCTGGAGGGCCATATAAATCATGGGTGGTTCCCATTTCAGCGGCAGATTCAGTTTAGAAGGAATCCTCTCACTAGCAGCAATGCCTCGAAGGCAGGGCGTACCAACAAATGAATGTGGGGCGAGGGGGACCTGACTATGCCAGTTGCCCGGGGGAGCTCCGCATACCTTTTCGACCTTTTTTAACTAAAGGCTGAGGCATGTGTCCTACAGTGTTTCAGGTTGGCAAGGGATATGTGTTTTCCCCATCTTGTCCATGCCCTCCGAGTTTTCAACAAACAAAGCCCGCAATGCCAGGGTTTCCGAGCCATGTCCCTTGTTGGAAACTCCAAAAGTGGCGATCGTTTCAAGGGAAGCCGCCAGTACATTGATCAACTTTTGATTTGGGGAACTCCAGTGACCCCCAAATGATGGTCCTCCCTTGAAAGTTGAGCGATCTCTTCTGGTTTTGATTCCCCGCTAGTTTGACAAGATTCACTTTTCGCATTCCGGCGACGGCTTTTTGCCTAACCAATCAAGCTTTCAAACGTTCAAGCCGTTGATTTCTTGTTGTCCGGTGAGTTCTGGCTGGGATCTTGAGCACCAGTCGGCTGGCGCTTTTTGAAAAAGGTCTCTCAACACAAAGTGTGAAACAGAAGGGGCAGCACTTCCTTAATGAAGGCATAGGCTTCGCTGAGGCGAATCGATGGCGGGATTGGGGCTGCGGGAAAGGACGCTTGGTTCAGTTTCTCCTTTTGCCCTCTATGCAGGGTCCGAGCCCGTCAGCGCAGGAGACGCAGCAGTGGACCGGCGGTGATGCGACCCTGGTGCAGACGGGCGACATCACCGTGGCTTGGCTGAGGATGTAAATTCAGGTTGGTGAGTTTTAGCTCAGTAGCCCAAAGCAAATCGATCTCTTTAGCCATCTTTAGCCATTTGTAGCCTTTTGATTTTCCAAGTTTGCTCCGGTTCTGGTCATGGAACCAAAAGGTTGCCCTTTTATTTATGGGTCCTTTGGGCAACTGCAAGAACTGCACATCCTGCCGCAGGAATCACTTGAGTCACTTCTCAGTTTTTGCTTGCCGTGAGTTGCAGATTCTCGGGTTGCACCAGGGTTCTTCGCCCAAACTCAAATCCAGAAAGAAACACATCGTACGTCAGGTCACTAAAACTATGGTTCTCGCCCTCCTTCTTGGGCCCAATAGGGGCTAGTGCCGAGTGCCTGCCAAGGTCTACTGATGCCAATGGGCCCCAAGGGGGCGTTCCTTCCTAATTTGCATACGGGCCCAGGATACCCTGAGCCTAGGACAGAGGCCTGAGCCTAGGACAGAGGCGACAACTGCAAGCAGATCTATGAGCTCTTTCTCCGCTTGCGGCAGGAAGCGCAGGAGGCACACCATGGAAGGGGAGCAGGCGATGATGGATTTGTTCAGCTTCCCTTTGGGACCGATCAAACCAAAAGGAATTCGGAAGGGATTAATCCAGCAGCAGCTCTCCCTGGAGGACAAAGAGTCACTTGTCCAAAGCCGACCTTGTTTCTTTTTTGGCATATGTTTAGTCAGGGTTTCAAAAGGTGATCACCTAATATTTCCAGGTCCAAACTGCGCAAGTGAGAAAAGTCCGGTTTCCTCCAATTGGTGGCTTGGACTGGCTTGCGGCGAACCCCTAAAGGCTGTCCACGTTTTGGTGAAAGGGATCTTGGGCTGTGGATCGGTTTAAACAAATGGGATTGCCTTTTTGAGGGTGCCGGGCTACCTCCTTTTTTCGTGGTTTTATCGGAACCGCCAGGAAACCATTTTGGGGGTGCCCCCTAAAAAAGACACACCCAAATGGATACCCCCGGAAAGAAACAAGGAAACCAAAAGGAGGTTGTTCATCGACTGATAGAAACCAAGATTGGACAAGGGCTTGGGTTGTTAAGTCCAGAAACTGGAATCGGTAGTTTCCCAATCTTCCACTTGGGGGGTGACTTCGATACTGGTAGAATGGGGGCCAGTACCGTTTTCCTTTTTTTGAGGGGTTTCATTTGGAAAACTGACCAGGGGAAAAAAGCTGCCACTGGTCCGGGAAACGAGCTACCAATTATTTGATTAGATTCATGTTTTTTTTTGGTTTTATATATATATATCTTTTGGCCATTGGGCCATTGGGCGCCGTGGCAACAGCAACTGAGAATGGTATCTGAGCATTGGCTGGGTGGGGGGGGGGGCGGAGCCGGAGACAAGGCGGCGTGACCGCTTTTCCCATGGCCACTGGGCGGAAATGAGGCTTCCCTTTGCCAACCATAGAAGAGAAGGGTTTTGGAAGACAATCATCGTCAACAAGCTCGTTGGAAAGAGGGTTTGTCCTCCTCTTTTGCATTGCTGGGCATTAAGGAATATAAATTTGTTCCGGGCTCTCCTCCAAGACCATGTGTTTTTTTTTGAGTGCGGGGGCGGGGGGGGGGGGGGCAGCGGTAGACTAAATGTGAATTCTGAACATTCTGTGGATGGACAAAATGTTGGGCCACTTTGAATCCATTGGAAACCATGGTTGTTGTTATTTACAGAGGGGTCATCATTGCAGGGTTTCTTAGGTGCAGGATTTCGTCCTTTGAATGGTGACCTGGCCGGTGCAACCCAAGAGGTTAGAAGACGGGTCTGTCGGTTTTTGAAGTTACCCCTTGTTGGTTGGTTTTAAGGGGGGAAAATGGAGGAACGCCACCATTTTGGGGGGGGTCCAACAAAAAACGCACCCAAGTGGAAATGATTCCACCTTCCACACAAGTTAGATCATATAGTTCCATGGCCAGGAAGCATTCGTTCCAATCAGATCAGCCGCCCGGCTTCCTGCAAGTCTGTGAAGGCTGGGGGGCGCGTGGTGAATATCCTCGGCAACCACGAGGCTCGCGCGCGTGCCGCCGGCTTGCCGGGATAACCCTCCTGTTCAAGATCGTTCTGTCAACTTCCCGCGATTTGGAGGAGACAGCTGAACATGTTCAGACAACAGTTTGTTAGAAGCTACAAGCAGCTCAGACAGCCGCGACTATGTGGTTGGCACCGGTCCCTTACTGTACGGGATACTTGGCCAAATTTCAATTCCAGAGGTCACCCTGGTATAGGTACTCTTCAGGCGTTCTGTAAGGAGAATTTGAGCCGTTTGAGCTCCGTCGCCCTCCGTCATTGGAGGAAGGGTATTTGGGATCCTTAGGTCATGAACCTGCAGGGCGACTGGCGCTACGCTCTTCGAACGCAATTGGCCTTGTGGGGACTGCTGTTGCCTGAGGAAAACGCCTTAGAGGCTAAGAAGGGGTTCTTGCAAGGCTTCTATTGGGTAGGGCCCGAATGTCCATCCTTGCAGTTGGGCCTGGGGTTATCAACCCTTGTTAGGCAGTCCTCACATATACGATGCCTCCATGTGGCAGCAGCCGCAATGAATGGTTTCAATTCTGGATTTGTTGGTGTCAACTTTATCATTCTAGTTGACATGTGTGCCCTGGCAACACACCTTGGAAGCACAGTGCGACATGAAGAGCCGTGCAAACTGCATGCTGCAGTTCCCGGCCAGACGCAGCAGAACACCTCTTCCCAGTTTTGGCACCCTTTTTCTTACCTTGCTTGGTAGGTGTTCCCTTCAATGTTTTCCTCTTTTTGTTTGGTTCTGTTCATTTTTAGTAGGCAGCTGCAAAAAAGCAACAACAAGTATGTTGCTACCATACCATCCCCACTAAAAGATGTTATTTCAATCAAAAACGGCCCCCTTTTCTACTTGGGTCACTGGGCAACTGGGACTTCGGTGCTTTCCAATACCGAAGACTTGCAGCGATTTGACCCAACAACCCGAAGCTTCGGTATGTCAAGCGTGCCGGACCCACGCAGAAGTAATGTCTGGAAGGGTACTGATATACTCCCAATCAAGGCAGCCTTCACTTTGCTTTGCTGGATGCATTTGCGATGTGTGGAGCCTGGAGAAACTGGTGACTGGGCATAATTTGTTCAGACCAGGTGCATCTGCTCTTTTTTTTCTTTTCGCAAGTGGGAGCCAACCTTTGTGTGGCCGCCTCAGTTTGGTTTCTGCGCGGGATCGTCAGACCTCACAAGCCCTACTCTGGGTGGACTACCGGTGAGTCTCATGGCCCCATGGCTTAGGTTTCTCAGGGTGATCTCCAGCAATTCGGCGGACCGGAGGCGCTCAACGGATCGGGGAACGCGGAGCTTCCCCGAAAGAATCCGGGGGTCCAGGCGATTCTTTCCGGACTTTTCTTTTTTCAGGTCCATTTGGGCAAGTGAGACCAGTTGGTTTTTCGAATGGGCGTGTCTTTTTTGGAGGGTACCCCAAAGAGGGAGCCAAAAGGAAAACCACCAAATTAAGACACACCCGAATAAACCGAATCGGGAGCCACCCCGAGACTACTGGTTTGGGGAGGTTTGGCAGCGGAGGCCATGCAACTTACTCAGGGCGGCCACTCAGTTTTCCCATGGCTTGCAAAAACCATCGGGGGCTCGCAGGAGTTCCCCCAAAAGGGCTCAAACAAGGCAAACCCTGGTTGAAGTTCAGGGACAGAGATCCAAAGGCGCAAGGCGCGCTTCGTTTGGTTCGCGCAGCATGCACGAACCGAGCGTGATTAGGTCAGGTGAGCCAGATGAAAACTTCGGGCAGTTCAAGTTCCGTCAAGGCCAGACCCAGCCACGTTTAGGTCCCCAGTTCAATTTCTAAAGTCTTCTGGCAGGCGCGAATCCGGGGAAGTCCGCCCCCGGCTACCTAGAAATTACAGCCCTACTGCTCGGGTCCGTTGAAGTGACAGCTCCAAAGTTGCTTTCTAAATGGTAGTTCCAAGGGACACCACCCAAAAGAGTCAACCCCTGGAGTTTTACTTCCAATTGCTGAATAATTGTTACTTCCCGGTTGGTTTCAAAGAAATCTAGCACTGCCATTTTGCTGAGGGGACTTCAGCAAATGGAGGGTATCCTCAGCTGTCTCACAAGCCTCACTAAGCCTATGGGGCTGTTGCTGCCACTTGTGGCCTTTGCCACGGGACCTGAAGAAATGGGACTATATGTGTCCCCCTGTTTTGAAGGGAATCTATCGCGGTATCCCTCTGAGGGTATTTCCTCCATTTCGATCGATTGAACGGGAACCACCAAATGATTTCACAAATCGAATTCCAAAGCCCAGACCTCCATGTCTCCTCGTGGAGCGAGCCAACGGCAGTTTCCAGGAGCGGCGTCAAGCCTTTGCCGCGGACGGGTGGCTGGGCAAGGAGCTGCGAAGCTGGCCCGTGGCTGTGGTGGTCCAAGGGGCGCCTTGGCTTTGATTTGACGGACGACGGAGGACGTCAAAGTGGCCTCCCCCAATTTTTCCTGGTGTCCCCTCAAAATTAACATATGTTGATAAATGGTTGTGTTTGTTTGTGGTATCTTTTTTTTTTTTGGGGGGGGGGGGGGGGGGCGGGGACCCTTGAAGAAATATTAATACGAGTGTGCGTAGACTTCGGGGATATAGTGTTCTTTTCTTTTTGGGGAACCCCCAAAATGGATTTCGATGATGTTCCTTTTGACTTCCCTGTAAACTAGCTAAAAAGGCAACCCCCCAAAGAAAGACAGACCCGTACTACTTCCCTACAGTTTAACATGGAACCCACAGGTGATCTCTCCAGCTTGTACAAGCTCACCGCGTAGGTCCTTCAGAAGGGGATCCCGCACTTTAGGTTTTAGATGTTTGTAAGTGTTGCGACACAGATTCCGACCCCCTTAGTTGCGTGTACCATTTTTTGAGGATGCCCCATTTGGAGTGGTGGCCACCAAAGGAAACCGCACCTCTCTCACGGGTTCCAAACCATTTCCTTTGAAAGGGAACCTCCAAAAGTGGCTTTCTCTTTTTAAGGTGGAACCCACCAGAAACAATTGATCAACTTTTGATTTGGGAAATCCAGCTTTACCCTATAGTAACCGTAAATATTCGTGTGTGTGCCAGGTTCTGCTTGAAGGTTTCCCTGATTTACCTAACACTTTGGGTAAGTTTACCCCTATTTTCCCCAGCAAACAGGTTAGTCGAAAAAACAGGGTCGGCCGCATGCCGGTGTTGATTTCGAGGCGGTTAGGGTCAAATGCTTCTTTCATTAGGCAACCTGGAATGTGCTCCAATCCAAATCCACGCAAAATCAAGAGGGCGCCTTGTCATGCACTTCCCGCGTGGGTAACAGGAAAGCAGCGTTGACTTGCAGGAGGTTGCCTGGTATTTCCAGGTCCTTCGGCTTTAATGTCAAATGGCAAGTGGTTATTTTGTGGACCCCCGCTAAAAGTTGCTTTCCTTTGGGCTTCCCTTCAAGCCAAGGGTACCCTTTAAACAACACTCCTATGGTTTGATGACTCGGGATTGTTTTAAACAAGAACATGTGCTGGTCTCCCTTAAACCAATATCGAAACAGGTACCTTTTTCTCCCCATGGGTTGACTTGAGTGCTCCTGGCTTTCCTTTCAACCTTTTGTGTTTCAAGCCAAAAAAGAGTGTTGGCTGCCCTTTAAACCAACCAAAAAAATGTTTCTCATGGGTTGACTCAGGTGCTCTTCAACCACGCGGGGCTCCTGCCGGACATGCTGAGCCACCGCAACCTGGAGGACCTGAACGTGGCCTTTCGGACAGCCGTGGACCATGCCATGGGCAAGGAGCTGCAGAGGAACGACTATCCGCCACTTGGCAGTGAGTGCCCTTGGTGGCTTGGTGGCTCCCAGCTTCGAAGTATATGTTTTCTCTTACCCCGCTGGGGTTAAAGGAATCGGCATGATTCTGACTAGTGGGAATCATTCCAAAAGCCAGCTGATTTGGGTTCCCTACCTTGGTTGCTCCTAGCCCTTGTAAACGCTTCGCGTTGCCCGCCTCGGCCAGTATGGTTTTGGCTGGCTTTGAGGCACTGTGTTTTGGTTTGCCTTGAGGTGTGGTGTTTGTTTGAGTGAGTGATTCGGCACCGACATGCGGGATAGAGGGTGAGTGCATGTTGTGGTTCGAGCGCTTCAACGAGAGCCGCACAAGGTTACAGAAGGCCAAGCGCTGGGCTGAGGAGCCACCGAGAACAACTTGGTTTCTAGGAGATTTGGAGCAGGACCGTTTTTGAAAGGGGTTTGGGGGAATTTGACCAGCCTTCTGAATTTGGCGGATTTGACCGGAGTTGGACCGGTTTTGGAGGTTGGGGAATTTGACTAGTTTTTAGGGAGTTTAGATTGACTTGACCAGACTTGACCGGTTTCTAAAGGGGAATTTGACGGGTTTCCAGCAGGATTTTCACCAGACGAATTTTTAGAGGGCATTGTATTGGGTTGGGCCGCTTTTGATCTACCGCTTCCCGGGCCCATGTTGGGGTTGGGGTTTAATTTCGGACTCTTGTCAACTGTTAGAGTGTCTTGTGCAGACATTGGCCATAGTGGACTTCACATCGTGCAGGCACTGCCAGCATTCAGGAGTATGCCCCCAGAAAGCAGGCGAAGGTAAGTCAAGCAGTTGCAAAGTGGTACTGCCTGCCTCTTTTAGATCGAGAAGGGGAAGTGTTATGAAAACGGAGCACTTGCCCCCTTGCTTACACACTGTGAGCAGGTGCTCCAATGCGGGGGGGGGTGTCTCAGCTTGATAGAAGGGCGGCACGCTACGTTTGCGGGATTGGCGTTTGTCCTTAGTCATTCGGGCACGCCCTGGGCACTCATCCCCCGCCATTCCGCCAAGATCATAAAACCCATGCTTCATCAGGTCGCGCTACTGAAGGTGGGGTGAGCCTCCTCCTCCTCCTCCTACATTTGGGGCAATTTCATGTTGTTTCCATATGTATTGAACGCGCTGGGTTTCGAGGCCCTGGTAGCTCCTCGCCCGCATGGCACTGAACATCCCTCAATAGTCATGTCTTGCATTTCCGGCTTGAGTTGCTGAGATGCTGGTAAAGTTTCCACCAGGAAGCAAAAGAAAAAACAAAAGCAGGCTGCTAACAGAACGGTGGTCCACACCCCTGAAAGCAAGCAAGCAAAGCCCTTAGCAGAGCATAGCAGAGCACATTTATCACAGCAAACACCCCCCCAAGAGATGTGTTCAACATTGGTCTGAGTTGTGCCCCATTGTTTTTAGTGCTTTAACACCCCAAATATTGGTGGGTCCAGTAACAAACCGATGAACCGTCGCCACCAAAAACTGGGGGGATTCGGATTCCGACTCGAGGCTTTTGGGCAGCCAGGGCCCAGTCTGGGCCCGGGACTACGCGCTGGGAAAAGGCCATCACTGCCGGATGGCGGAGGAGGTCTTATCCAAGGTCCAGGCGGAGAGGCTGGAGAGGGAGGGTGCCTGGGGGCCTTGGGGCCTTGGGGGCTTGGAATTGGAGATTGGTTTTGAAATAGATGAGTTGCTGGTTTAGATGGTTTCACTAAACGGTTTAGAGGCCGGAGGGTTCGTCTAAATTCACTTCCTCAGTTCCGGGACTCCGACTTAAGTCGCTTGTTGGGTTTGGGCCATGTTGGTGGCAAAGAAGTTTGGACTTGTTTTGGCCAATGCACTCAGGAAGTGAGCTAAACTCAGCCAGCATTCAGAACCAAGCCTCGGAAATCGAGCTACAACTCTGGGCATCCACAGCAAACATGCGTTTGCTTCGGCATTGATTGTGCTACGAACTTTTGGGTGGCGTTCGCAGATTGAGTCCTGTCAGGATGGTGCTGGGACACACGATCCAGCAGGACCTGCATGTGCACCCGCACTGCAACGGGAGGATCGTCCTGGCGGACACTGCCATCTCATCGGCCGCCTAGTGGAAAGCTGGGGCGTCATCCATGCCTGTTCAACTTGCGGTTTTCCAGCTTGGTTGGAGGCTGAGCATTTGTTGGAGATCCTTTACTTGTCCATGGCTGGGCCAAACGAGCTCCATGATGAAGGTCCATTGCTCGGGACTCATGATGTCCGGTTTGTGAATTACAACCATTTGCCCAGATCAGCATGACCTGCAGCTTGAGGGGTGGTTAAGGCATGCTTACACAACAAGATGGCAGCGTAGCCTGTGATTTTGTATGATACCACTTGCCCAACACCCCTCCCCCAACAAGACCTTAAATTCCTGCCCTTCGGCCGAAAGGGGTGTGTTACTGGTAGGTGCAAACAACGGAAGTCATTAGTGTGCCAGGACAGTGGGTGGCAAGAGGATCCAATATCTGAAGCATTTGAACTGTTCACCCCACCCTTGTTGCCAACCTTCTCATACCAAACATAATTTGCCTTTTGCTCCCCGGCGAATTTACATTGACGTGGAATCCAAACTGGGGCCAGAACGCAAAAGAATATCTCAAGGCGCGTAAGTTTTGTTTGGACTCTTTGTCAACTGTGAGAGAGGCATGCAGAGTTCCAGTGTGTCAAAAGAGGGTCCGCTAACTTCGCTGCCCAATTTTGTGTCCACTGGTTCGTTTAATGCAACCGCGTATCTGCCAGAGTTTCGGGTGTTTGTCGAAATTAGGGCTCCAGATTGATTTGCTTGGTGCTTCTTCAAGAATTAACTTCGCGTGTTGATGGAATGTATATGCTTGGGGGCACCTTTTGGCGTCTAGAATTGTTTCGCCAATCTGCCCAAGAACTGTCAGAACCGTCCAAAACGAATCCTGCACTACTTTAAAGCCATAAAGAAGTGTCCATTGGTATTTGCAGCGGAAGCATCAGAAACCAGCGATTATTTACTGCATAATTGATTTCGCAACCACCCACAGTAGGGGCCAATCCCGTTGAGACACACCATCCTGACGAGGCATACGGAGGTGCCATGTCCTATCTCGAGCACAAGGATGGCGAGGTTAACGTAGTGCAGCTCTGATGGTGTTGGTGATACCCCGCAGCCTCTGAAAGACAGAAATGGGGCAGGGGCGACACCATGGAATGCTACGAATGCTCTTACTTTCTTTAGTTGCAGGAGGTTGTTGGATGTTTCTCAACAGTTAGGGCTCTTATTGGCATGGTCAAAAGGTACGGTGACAGATGATAAATTCAAGGATGTTAGTTTCTTTTCCAAGCGCGTTGCCAGGAAGACACGCCAACTTCCGAAGCACCCTTCCGGAGGTTACCAAACTCAGTTTCCCCTAGGGGCCGGGTCCCTGTCAGATGCCATGGCAACATGGGGGGGTGTTGTTCTCTCACCCTTTGAGATGAGGGTATGGGGCATTCCGCATGACATAGATCGCCGCAAGGTCTTAGGGGCGGGTTGCCTTTTTTATATATCCTCCTTATGTTGTCATGTTTTTTGTTGGTGATTGTTTGGATGCCAAAGTAAGAGCATCAATTGTATTCAACACACTGGAGGTTGGGAAGGTTGCTTGAGACAGCTCGGCCGAGGCTCCGAAGCGTTAGGAATTCTCTTTCGGATCTCTTCCGGCAAGCAGAAGAAGCACAGAGCGATTTGGCCCAGTTTGACGGGTCAAATCGCTGAACCTTTCTCGTTCAATTGTTGAGGCATCTATAGTTGTTCGCGCTTAGGTGGTTTAGATTGGTGGTTTGGAGGTCGGCTTGAATGTCCAATTCTCCCTGGTCCAACCCGCCTGGGGTCAGATTAATTTAGTTATGCCAGGCTCCTGGGAAATGAGCTGAAGAACGGCTGGGAAACCTACGCATCTCATCGTTTGTGGGTTTGGAGCTGACAGCTTGAGACTCTTTGGGGCACCAGTTTTAAGTCGCTGCGTTCGGGGAGCACCTCCATGAGGCTGCGAAAGAGGGGGCTTATCCCAAGCTTAGCCAATCCATTTCGCCCCAGTTGGGATTGGTGGTCTACCAACCAGCTTCTTTAGGGTTCCATCCGTTGCAACTGGTGCGAAACAGATTTTGTCCATCCACAGTACGGCCTAAGCCAAGAAGAAGCTCCCCTCCCAGCCCTTGGAAGGTGCCTGGCGCTTTCAAGAGAAGGATGCCTGGACTTTGCAACATCCATTTGCTCTCCCAAGTTCCCCCCTCAAAGTTTCGTGCAGTACCTTCGTCTTGACAATGGCATTCAAATCGGCGAAAGGATGGGAAGCGACTTGCAACCGGTATCACAGAAATGGGCCTGCCCATTGTCCACCAGCGTGATCCGATTTCGACCTCGAAGCAATTGACCAGCTTGGGCGAATGGTCAATTGTTCAAAGCCGACCTTCTGACCTTTTGGCTTCTCTGTGTTGTGTTGCCATTTTGAGAGGCAGCCCGAAAGGAATTGACCAGTAGTGGTAGATTCCCTTTAAAAGCAACACGGGAAAATCCCACAATATCCTTGAGCAAATGAAAGCAGCGAATAGACTGCAAATCTGATTTGGCAGTTAGGTTTGTGCCCAACACACACACACCAACTGTATTTGACAATCTGTGCAGCAGTATTTTCGCTAAAAGTGGCAATTCCCTTTTGAGGCTCCTTAAAGTGCCTTTGGTGGATCGTGGGAAACGTCCAGAATGCTGAAAACGGGGTGCACCACTTGCTTTTTGCTTTGAGTTGATCCCATCCTTTTGCGGGGAGTCCAACTCATCAAACGGGGAACATTTGAGCCTGAGCTAGCTTTCTTTGGGACAAACACGGGTGGCGTAGGGCCCTTTGAAATCCAACAACATGTTGTTCTGGTGAATTCCATAGATGATAGTGTGTAATGGTCAATCCTGTGGGCCAATCCCTAAGGGTTCATGACCATTCTCAATAAGCAAATGGAAAGTTGGGTTACGTTGCCCCCCTTTGTCAAGGGAAACCGCCCGTCGAGGTATCCAGGCACCGGGGAGGTCGTGAAGCTCCCTGCTGCAGCCGCCGTCCTCACAGACGACGACGCCAGCTACAGCCCGCGCTCGCCACACCTGCCGCATGGAAAAATATCCCAGCGAAGGGAAGTAGGGTCCGTTGTTGTGGGAAATGGTGTTCTGAAAATTGTTTAACCCTTTCACCCCATGGGCGGTTTTGCCTGTGGCTTCCCTGTGCCTCCCCTTACAGGCACAGCTTGGTTTTGGGTAGCCACTTTCTGTGACTGGCCAGTGGGATCCCCTGATTGAGACAGTCATGAGAATCCAAACGCCTTGGTATCACAGCAAAGGGTATTTTCCACCACAGGGTCTAGAGTCTAGAGGGTGATCCATAAGCCTCAAACGGTCATGTGGAACCTAAGATCACCCGAACGTCCAGCATGAGACATGGGCCAAGCTTCCGCAACAAAGGTTGGGCCTGACGGCATGCCGCAAGTAAACCGCCCTTGGTAGGGCATACATGCTTGCGGTAAAGGAACAAACAAAACGAGTCACTGGGTTCATCCTCCTGAAAATTGGAATTGAGAGGGGGGTGACCCCTGGAATTCCATCTACGACCCCATTTTCGCTGTAAGGAATCCTTGATAAATGGAAGGTCCCAGACCCCCATCCTCCGAAAGGCCTTACGGTAGAGATCTGAGTTCCCTGCTGTCAAGGTAGTGCAATCGCAAGGCCCGTGTGGCCTGCTCTGGCTCTGGCATTCCTGGGCGATGCTCGGCCAAAAGTTACAATCCGATCGCGGTGTCAGCGCACGAAGCCCGGAAACCTCAGTGGTGCTTTCGTTTTCTTCTCGTATGTTTGTTTGTCGTTTTTTTTGGTTGAGGGGTGTCCCAGGGTGTTTGTGGTTGCAAATTCAATTTGGTTGCCAATGTTTAATTGGGTTTCCTCTTGGGGTGATGTTTAAAGGTGAAATATAGTTGAACGTTACTTGCTGAGTTCCTGGACTTCATACTTTTTGTTGGTTTGAATGATTTTAATTAGTGGAGAACAACAGGTTTGCTTACTTTTGTTTTGGCTAATCCACTTCGTCAGTGAGTCTAGGTAGTTGGTCTCATGTTTGTTCCCGTGGGAAACCATCCAAAAGGCTCCCGTATTTTAGGACCCCCATTTGTCTTGCAACTTGCATCATTACCACGGCATCGGTTTTGGGCGCGTCCCTGTCGGTTTCGCAGGTTCTTGTCGGTTTCTGGCAAGTTTTGGCGCTGTGGGCATGCAAGCCAACTAGCCACATCCAACCACGAATTCAGTGGGTGCTAAGGGGGGGTCTGGAAAAATTAACTAATTGTGTATCCCCTGTTGGTTTCTGCCAGGGCAAATTGGATGTGTGTCAAAGGTCCCCCCAAGAGGTGGGGTTCCTTCTGGTCTCTCTGAGAAGCAACCTCAGAAAAGGGCACCCTCCAGAAACACTGACGCAATTGAACAAAGCCACAAGATACCAGAAGCATAAGTGTCCTGTTTAGGTTAGTTTGGTTAGACATAGGTGGGTTTCACTGGTTTAGATTGGGTCCCTTTTCTTTGCCCTTTAAGCATCACGCAAAGTCACTTTTAAAGGGAGAAATTGAGAGCCCCCACAGAAGGGAAAGCGCTTTCTGAAGTGACCGGGATCAATCCAAGCGTCGCAAATTCGGATATGGAACCTCCAAAATCGGCTTCCTGTCGAAACCCAGGTCGCTGCTTGGAAGTATTGCCCTTGCCGCAAGCACAAGACCTGAGCCGCCGCTTGAAGTCAGATCGAATCCTTCGGCCGAAGCGTCGTGATCGGGGTGCTGAGAACAACCGGAAAATATTCTCACTCAGGGACGGACTTTAAACTTTTGAGACCATTTTAGTCGTACACGGAACGTTCGACTTGTTTTGGCCAACACTCCAGAAGTGAGCTATCACTTTCTAAGTTCCTGGACTTGATGTTTTTTGTGCGACCACCCGGTGAAATCACGAGTGGATACTACCATGCTTTCCAGATCCCTGTAATTCTGCCACTGCCATGTTGATTCCAGCACCCCGGTGTTTATTGGAGGAGGTCGCTTTCCGCCTCGTTTCCACGACTGTGCAGGAGTCGTGCTTGAAGCGTTCCCTCGAAGCTGTGTCGAGTCAGTGTGTGTTTTTTGGCCAGGAGCCCAAGTCTCTTTTGCTGAGGGAAGGTCCAGGAAGCTCGACCCTGCCCGACGAAGACCCCTCGTTTGGCCGTGCATGTTATTTACTTTCTCACCTAGGCATAGCCTCAATACTTGGCACTGCCCGTCTTGCGGCAGCTAAAAGGCTGGAAGAGTCGCGTGTAAAGTTCGGTGGCTTTTTGTCGTCCACCCTTAAACACCCTTCCAGGTGTCTGTGAGCTCAAAAACTCAGATTGCCCAAAGCGAATCGACCTTCTGACCTTTTGGTTTCCCATGTTAGTCCACTCTTTTAGCCATTGCCCCAAAAGGCTAACCATTATTTCCAGGTCCGTTGGGCAACTGATAAAACCAACTTGTCCTGATGGATTCCCACCGGTCGGATCACTGACCAACTCCCGCCCAGCCGATCTTGATGGACAGCAAGCTCAGAGTACTTGGCCCATCCATGCAGGACGTGACTCGACTTTGGTTTGGGAGTCAGCTAAGTTAGCAACCCCCAGGTAAGTCCCTTTGTAAACGTGTGGGCTTTTTGTCTGGAAAGGAAGATATCAGGAAAGAATGACTTTGTTTGTGCCGTCGGCCCGGGCTGCGACAGTGCTTTTGGTACGATCCATGACTCACTTCCGAGTTGGGACTTGGCACTTGGACGTCTAGCCCAAGTAAGTAGATTGCAAGCATAGTTATACAGATGCTAACCCCAGTTCTCTCAGAAATGGTAGCTAGGCTGAACATCCAAGTGCCTTTCGGGAATTTGAGGTCAGACTAGCAGCGAAGTGGTTCTATGCAAACAAAGTCCACATATTTGCCTTCCAAGAAGCCCAACCCCCTCCACTCCCTTACGAATGTATCGACCCCCAACAAAGGTGCCCACAACAAATTGTCCCTTTGTGCACAAGGGACATTTTGTATGATGAAGGAGCCCACGTGTTGGTTTTCTGGGGATTGAATCCTATGAATATGTATGGTTTCGGATTCCATATAAATCTGCAAAGGGTCATGACTTATCCTGGGCCCGGGGGTGGCCCTGAGCTTAGCATGGAACCCAAGGAACAACTATTCTAAACATATATTCTGTTTGAATTGTTTTGTGCCACAAATTTCTGTAAACTCTATGGTTGAGCAAGCCTTGTGTTTAACAATCGGTTCCGAAATGTTCCGAACCTGTGCCTAAGAGAAAGCATGAGGAGGGATGCGTTTGTATTGTGAACCCGAAAAATCCTCAGTTTCACTCCGACCCATCTCGACCAGCTCCGTTGGTCATTTTTACATTCTCTGGTCGATGAATCGGTGGTGGCAACTTTCAGTGGGAATCCAGATCACTTTGGTTGGTGAGACCCCGCCAACTGGTGGGATACGTTTGTTTAATCCGGGGTCAACATTTAAACAGCACTGGTTTCAACATTCACCTGAGGCTTGGCCAAAACCTGATTTGTTGTTTGGGCTCGTGCTGCGCATGCAGACCGGAGCCGGGAGTCGGGGGTGTATCGTGTGAGGCTCGAAGCCGGATGTGTGCATGTGAGCAAAGCACAAAGCCCAGCAAGAAACCGGAAGAATGCTCTGGTTCTCACAAGGGAATCATTTGAGGGGTGTTGAACTTGATCCGTTAGGGATCCCCAAGCAACCAAGAGGCTGGTTCATAGTGGTCATTCCCTGCTGAGAACCAGCCACCTCAGATTAGCCGGACCATGCCAATCAAGGGTTATCTTTTCCACGGGGAATTCACATATGTGTTAAGACTTTCTTGGATCAGTACTGTGGACGGACAAAAATGAACAAAGTCCTGCACCAGTTGGTAGCAAATACAGAAGCCGCAAGCCGAAAAAGCACATGAGGCCATTCAATTCCCCCAGGTTAGAGCAAATTCCTGTCGTGTTTGTTTCATTGGCAGGTTCTTGTACCCCATAGTCCATCGTGTTAGTTTATGAATTCCACCTGAGCAGCGGCCAATTCCCACAATGCCGTTGGCCACTTGAGCAGGTGGTTCCACTACCTGGTTTACTTGCGATTGTAGCAATTCCTATGTACGACTTTAGTATCATCTTGGAAGAGCCGAATAGTCAACGAGGTTCGGGCACTGCTTGCGTGAGCCACAATCAATACCCGGGTAGATTAAGGATAGCTGCCTTTCGAATTCCATACATGGTTTTGTGTCGGCCGTCTTGATGATGACTCACCTGGACCCATGAAATTTGCATACATTTGAAGCCCAATAGATCATGGCAAGCCTTTAGCTGTCATGCGGGCTTTGGCAGAGGCTGGCTGGGGACTGTGGCAGGCAGTGTTTGTGAGGGTGTCGCACGGTGGGCCCCCCTTCGGTTGGTTTTTGATCGGCCCAAAGGATACCAACTATAGGTGTCCTTTTGATCAGTGGTTAGAGATGCGTACCACTGGTTTTTGTTTTATTCTCCATGTACCAAGGCCATCTACTTTCCGAAAAGGAGAGACGGTACCAACCATTTTGGGGATTTCTATTTCGAGAAACCTGTACCGTTGCATACCTCAACATGCCCGTAAATGGGTTCATGCCCGTTGGGTGCGTTGGCAGCCCGGAAGCCAGCGGGTATGATCAAAAGTGTGAGCTTCCTTCTACCATGAAGGGCATCAATCAGGGGTCTCTGAGTTCCCCTTCAAAAGTTGCAAGTTTCAGATGGTGTCCCTTGAAACTGCCACTTTTGGAGGTTCCAAGACGGGACATGGAGGAAACCCTCTCCATACTCAGAGAAGCAAACTCTCAAAACACTCTATATATATATATATATATTGGTTCCCTGCGATTGGTGGTTTGGATCGGTGGCTTGAGGGCTTGAACTTCTGGTCCATTCAACCGTGGACACCTCAAAACAACCAATTCAAGCTCTTGAATATGTTGAACAAAATCCTGCACCAGTTGGGATGGATGAAACACCTACCCACTGGTGCCGATCGGGGTGGATTTTGTCCATCCACCGTTGGGGCAAGCTGACAGTGAAAACTGGGTTTCAAGAACCGACTTGCCCAAAAAGAATCGACCTTTTGACCGTTTAGTTGCCATTCACCGCACCCCTGCCGGTGGCAGAGATTTCCTGCTGACTACTCTCTATGTTTTAAAGGTTCAATGTTGGAACGGCTTTACCGAAACCAGTCCGAGTGCTCAAACCCCAGACAGGGGGTATCGCAATTAAATGTTTTGTTTCTTTTGTTTCTCCATGGATTTGGTTCATAGCAAAGTTTCCACCCAGTTGAGTGGCCATGATGATTAGTTATTGAATTGCCCAGTGGAGCCATTTACATGTATAGCAAGTAGGCAAAAGAAAAAGACCACCCGATATAAACCAAAAGGAACATGGCGAAGGGTTACCTACGATAGTGGCTTGCCTGGGATCCACTGCTTGGGTTCCGCAAGGAATGTCTGAACGCGCTTCCTTGTGGGTTTCGGCCCTCTTGTCGGGCTGGGCCTTGCTGGAGGGATGCCGGGGGCACCTTTTCCAGCTTGGCTTCGGCTTGCTTTGTTTGGGCAAGGGTGCAAAACCCTGCTAACAAGGTTCATAACCATTCATTTGCTGAAGATAATTGCTACTTTCCCTTGTTGATTTTAAAGGGACTACAGGACATGTTGTCAGCTTTTCAGGGGGCTCAAGCAAATGGAAGCAACCCTTATTCGCAAGCAAGCTGAGGCGGCCACTCTTGGGGCACACAAGCCGCGGAGCTCGTTCAACGAAGTCAGAGGAGCTTCCATGCCCTTGACATATCCTTATGCCTATTATATTTATCCTATTTTTCCGATTCTCCAAATTGGAAGCACTTAGATGCTCCCCATGGCAGCCTTCCTAACATGTCTGGCGGGCACCTGGATCAATTTCCAGTTTCCACTTCCTGTCGAGTGCCACGAAAGATTCGATCCGATTGCCAGCTCGCCATTTCGGTGGTGCTCCTATGGCGCTGTGTGGCGCGTTTGGGCACTCAGACACGTCAGTTCTTGCTGTTTCCCCTGGGTTCTAAGGTATATGCCAAATAAGCCCTACATTGGTATGAACCGGTGAGTTAGCCTTGAGGTATGGGAAATCAGCGGTCCAAAATGGCCATGCGGAGCTATACAAAGCCTTTGACTGTGGTCCGTGTGTGGCGATCACCTTTCATTTCGTCCACAAACTGGACAACTGAGTAAGAATACCCTTTAATCAATTCGCCCGGTTTCAAAGGGGATCGATCACTGGATGTTTTTCCCCAGGGACGAATAACACCAAGGAAAGTAATTGCTTTTGGGGGGGGGTGCTCAGCCGGGGCTCAATTCCAGGGCTTAGGGAATGAACCTAGCGTTCTTTTCCGGGATGGTAGGGGCTGGTGAGTTCCTCTATTGGACACTGGCGGGATTTTTGGATATTGGATGTTGGTGTTGTTGCACCCCTCTTGGGAAACCACCCAACTTTCACACAGGAACCAAACCACCGAAAAGCTGTGGAAACTTGGCCAAGTTCTGTGATGCCAAAAAATGAAAACCGCCTCCCAAAGGAGATGGTAAAGGGGGAGCAAGGGAAGCCAAAACATATCTGAGGGTCCATGGGAGGTAAACGCTATCCTTTTGGTTGTGTTTTTTTTAATGTTTGGGAATCGGACCCCAAGATGTGTTGGCTTTTCCTGTTGGTTTCCCTGGTACCCTCAAAAAAGGCACGCCCGGTTGTATAGTCGTCTTC